GCCCAGATTCAGAATATTAGAAATCAAATTCATACTGATACATTCCTATTAACAGAAAACGATAAAAGAGACGAGGCGACAACAGAGACAATCCGATATAATATGAAATGAACTGCAGCGAGAACAGGAAAACATTGTCAGAGAACCGAGTGATCCTGACGATACTGACTCCGAAGAGGATGACAATTGTCCTCGGAATCTTCCACCCGAACCAAAAAACAATCTGGACGTTCAAGAAGAAGCTAGGCTTGTCGTTGTTGGGTGGCGTGGCAGCTGTTGCGGCTACACCATTAGTGTTTGGTGCTGTTGGATTCACTTCAACCGGAATCTGTACTGTAGTAAATTAACATGAAGATAATCCTTGGTCATTTGACGTGCCTTATGGTGACCTATTTGAATTGTCTTTTCTCGGACGTTCTGCCTTTTGCGTCGCCTGCTGTACGCAATAAGTCACCGCAGTTACCATACCATAGACTTTGTCTTTAAGAAAGGGTCCGTCTAGATACACATTGTATAAAACACCCCATTTTCGTATCATTTATATTTAATTCCCGTAGACTATACGCGGCGTCCGTCTTCTCATCCTTCTTTAGCTCACCCTGTTAAAAGGACCTGTGTGATTATGTCGTGGCGCGGCGTCCGTTGTCTGTCGTCAGTCTGTCAGTGTTCCTCTTGTCGAGACAAGTCATGAACGGCGAGGCGGATTTTGATCAAATTTGGTCAATATCATCATCTTTGTATGGCGGGTCTGAGGCCACAGGAACTCAAGTGAAGGACCCAAAGGGGATATTTTTCAAATTCTTTAAACCCTTCTTCCCTGGAAACAACAGGGTTCAGTTCAAATTTGGTCTGAAGAATTCTTTGGGGAAAATAAATCTGTTTGATTAAAATAGTGGGGCAAGAGTGACGGTGCCAATTAGAGCAAATACTTTAAAAAAAAAACCCTTCTCCTGTAGGAGTGTAGGATCTAAATTATCCGTGGATGAAGAGAATTAATTTTGTATAAACCGTCGCTCTCGGTCCCTTCAGCAGAAGGGACGGGGCAGAATAGGGGATATTTTGTTTTTTCCCAACGAATTACGGGATTCCGTCCAAATTTGGTCTAAGGCATTCTTGGGGGATGGGGAATACATTTTGTACAAATGACGGGTCTTGATCCTCTTTTCCCAATAGAAGAAATATAGGAAATTCTTTACAATTCTTCTGAAGGAATGTTTAGATTCCGTCACAATTTGATCTTAGTTATCTTTCAAAGAAGGGAAATAAATTTTGTTTAAATGGTGGGTCTCGCCCCTTTAAAATCCTTCTGTTGGGATGCCAGGATTCTGTCCCAATTTTGTCTGAAGCATTTTTGAAAGAAGAAGATCAATTTTGTGTTAAGGGTGATTATCGGCCGTATGGGGCGGGAGGGACGTCACGCATTAGGGGAAACAGAACAAAAATCTTTAGAACCTTCCAACTTTCGTGGAAATGCATAACTTTTGTCCCAATTTGTTCTGACGCATACCTGGATGAAAGGAATCATAGTTTGTATAAACCAGGAATCTGACAAACTAAACTGCCTAGATGAATGGCATTTGGCTGTTTTCTGGCATGAAGCTCATCATGGCCTCCCATGTTTACAGGTCGCAGATGTCAAAATTGTTAAAACTCTCTAAACAACATCTTATTTTCCACGACGTTTGGCTTGCCGATTCCTGGGATGAAGCCCGACAAAATATGAAAAAATAGCGTTTTTTTCATGGTCACAAAATTGCGTTGTATTGTATCTCTCTTTAGCTTTGAAAACGCCCAGAAAATTATCAATGTTTATCATGTATTATGAAGAGCAATGAATACACTGTAGTGATGGTTATTAATGCATAAATGATTAATTAATTGCATCTATATCCATATCTAGTATATTATTTTCCTGTCTTTATATCTCCAATGACTTCAGACCCTATTTGTTGTAATAATTATTTCTGTTCTGTTTCCCTATCTGAATGACCCACCTGTTCTATGCACTCTGTAAACAGACAATTTTCCAGTTTTTGCTTCTAATCTTCCTGAAGCTTATGTCCGTTTTTCCTTTCATATTTTGATAAGTTGTTTCCTATGTGTACCGTTAAACGTGTTTGGTTGGTTTTTAGACTCTGAATGTTCCTGAGTACTTCTTTCTGTGTTTCTAGCGAGTCTGATTGGGTCTATCTTTATCTTCTCTATTTAATACTTGACGTTGTCTTATCACCTTATTTGCCATTTTGCCTACTGATGACACTCCATGTGTCGTCAAGAATTCAAATATTTCTTCCTTGTCCGATTTTAACCGATCTTTTCTATAATATTGTTGCAGTTTCGGTATTTCAAAAACACTTCAATTTTTGTTGCTATTATTTTACGTGTCCATTTTCCATGTTTCTTTGCTATCAGTTTCTTGTACATGATGTAAGTGGCCTTTTAAGCTTTCCTCGACAATATATTTTGAACTTGTGATTCAACGCTTTTGCATGACCTCCGAATTTGAAAAAAAATACTTCCAATCTTCTATTTCATGATATTTAATACAAAAATATTCTTTACGTCGGTTACAGTTCATCAGCTTAGCTTTCTTGTCTTCAAGTTAACCCCTACAAATAGTACATTTCTTTATTTTTTATCAATCAATGGATCTTCTGACGGCTTAGAAGAGCACGGCTATACTGACTGTTCCTAGTAACCGCTTCGCCATGGCGAATTCCGGTTGTTTTGCCCATCTTATTAAATATCAGTTCTGTATCTCTTCATAAACCGTATCCATCCGACTCCCAAAAGTTAATTAATCAACATCGCTTTGCCGCACGATGGCAAATATCAGCAAATTACAGTTCTGTCGTTACAGAGCTAAAAGTTACACGACTGTCTCCATGCCTTGTCCTTGTAAGGGATACGGACACTTTCCTTTAAATCTAGATATTTTAGACATTGCTACAATGTAAAGATGATGCTACTTGTATAATTTGATACCTCTGTTATGAATTTTAAATGTAACTCGTTTTGTTTTATTAATTTTCATGGTCATTAGCTGCTGTTATTACCAACGGAGAAGGCGTGGCTGCAGGGTCGACTGTGGGTGCAGCAGCTCTCGGAGGCAATGTTGCTGCCGCGGTAGGGACTACTGCGTCCGGGGTCACCTTTTGTGTTCTGGAGAAACTTTCTTTATTTAAATTAATCGATTAATTTAATTACACTTGCCGAACACAAGTACAATATTGATTGGACTTTCGGTTTTGGCGTAGGTTAAGGTGCGTTTGTGATCTGTAGAAATATTTTGAATGAGGAAATGCTGAATATTGAGAAGTTTTACACAGTAATTCTTTTTACTAGTTTGAAAACTATTTGATCAATTGGGTACTAGATATTAATCAATTTACGAAGATGACATTGATGTATTAGACAGCCCTGTATAGACACTCATGGATGGAAACCGCCGATTTCTTTGTGTTCGTTATGATCAATAATAAAATTAATAAAATATGTCTATTCATTGTCTTAGGTAGTGTTTGTTTTGATGTTTTGACTCACTTGGTCCAATAAGCTTATGGGATATCGCAGCGTCTGTCTGTTCGATTTTTTCTATAAATCTCAGCTAGTCATAAACTACTCGGCGACCAAAGTTTATCAGAACCATCCTTGGGTAAAGGTAATGTCGGAATGGCGTGGCGCAAGAGAAGGAATATTTTTTTCAAATTCTTTAAAATGTTTCCTCCTTAGGTATATCAGTTAAATGTTCCAATTTGATCTGAAGAATCCCTGGGTAAAGGGAATAATTTTCAAATCATGATAGGTCTCGACTCCTTGGGGCAAGAATCAACGAGGAATTGAGCAGAATCGTTAAAATACTTCATCTGTAGAAATGTCAGGAATCAGTTCAAGTGTGGTCTTAAGCCTCTTTGACCGAAGGCGATTCAATTCTTATAGACGGTGGACCGAAGGCGATTCAATTCTTATAAACGGTGTGTGCGCCTCTTCTGGGGCCAGGGGATGGGACCCAAAAGAAAAAAAATATTGCACTTTTAAATTCTTCTGTAGGAATGATTGGGTTTTGACCTGATGTTATTTGAACCATCCTAGGGTGAAGGAAATGTTGCATACATGGTTGGTCTCGGACACTGGGAACCAGGTCCCCTTTGCTCAAAAGTAAGAGTAGTAGTGAAAATCTCAAATTGCTGCCACGAAAGAAATAAGAGTGTTAAATGCAAAATTAATTCTCATATATATATCAAGGTGACCTGTCACAACAAATCAACTGCTGTGAAATGATAGAAAATGTTTCAAATATGTTACTATTCATGGTTATCTCTAACCAGCCCCATAACAACTACTGCCAGATGGATTGGGCCTTATTGGGGAATGGTAGCATTTTTTTGAAAATTTTGTATGAATGGTTGATTTTCGTCAAATTTGGTCTGAAACATCGATGCATTTAGCTTTCAGCCCTAGGGACAGAAAAGACATTGCCTAATAGGAGAGATATATTTTAAACTTTAAAAATACTTATTTTAGCAATTTTAGCAAACTAAACCATGTGAGCGATACATGCTCAATGAACAACTTGCTTTATATAACACAAGGGCACGCGTTGACTTAAACAGTCTTCAGTTTGTTATTATCCGAGTAGTCTTTGACTAACATAGAGTAAATACTGAGGATGTCATCCTACTGTATGAAATCTGGGCTGTGTGGACAATATGCCACCTGATCACCTCAGGAATAAACTACAGTCGATTGTGAACCGGATATCACGGTAAAAATCTTATTCCTTTTAGTGATTGTGAGTGTTACTTACATTTATGTTTCTATGCTACCCCGAAATCTCGTTGTGTTGTTTTAATTGTGTAACGTACTGTTGCTCGGATATATATATATTATATTCTTAATTTTAGCATACGAGTCAACATTTCCAGGGGAAGATAATCAATTAATGTTTCCCGCCGACAGGTGGTGTTTTAACCGGAAGTAAATGCCACGTCCGTTTTAGTGACCGGCTTCGTGATGTGTTAGAAATTACGTTATTATCAATTCAGTTAAGACTTATAAGCTTACTAAACCCCACAGCGAAGTAACTATTATCGCATTCTATCATCATGGTAAGTATGAATCGGATGTTCAATCACGACGATCTGTTTCAGACAACGACTGGAAAGCATGTATACCTTAACAATGTACTAGATAAGTTTTGCATCCAGATGGCCAGTCTCCCTTCTTGTCACTTAAAATTGATGGCCCATTTATGTTATACGTCATTTCGAGTCATTGGGGAATTGTAAGTTCTTTTGTAATAATGTATTTTGAGGTAATTATGAATGATGGTATTTGCCATTCATATGATACAGTGAATTTCTGTGTTATCCTGGACAATCAAATTACTGAAAGATGGCATGTCCTATGTATGATATCTACTTCTGTTTCTAATAAGGTACCCATGTTTCACAAAATTGACAAACTGAAAAATACAGCATATATATGAAGATTAGTGTGTATGTACACATGTCATGTTCTTCACTGAATGAATATAGGCCTAGTTTTGAATTTGCGAAAGTGTAAATAGTCCGAATTATTTATACATTTTATCAACTTTTATATTTAAGCCTAAAGTCGATAAACGTCAGAAATCCAGCCCTTTATAAAGTGATCAGTGTGGTTCAGCATTCAAACAATAATTATGCAAAGAAATTGTCATTTACAGATGTGTAGTGCACATGGATAGAAAGATCTTTGTAGATAACAAAAAGCTGATAGAATGCCTGAATAATGCAGACTAAAGTGTACACTTCCCAGTCCAAACGAGAACTGGAACAAAACTTGAGATATGTTTATTGGATTTCATGGCCTATTGAACCATAAAAGTTTTATGATAGAAACCTTGTATATAGACACTGTGATTCAGAAGGTTAGGTGTTTAATCCATTGTTGTTATTTAATTCATTACATATATGTATCACTTTTAACACTATACTCTCTTGACTTTTCTTCACTTCCTCTTGCAGGTGTCTGTTATTAATTCAGTTGATACAGCTCATGAAGACATGATTGTAAGTATAAAAATTCTTTAAAGAAGAAATACTTATGGAACACATAGTAAATTCATGCATACAGACATGTTGTACAATGCTGTCTTATATTGTACTGTGCCAAAATTAGAATATTATACTGTGAACTATCATTAGTTAAATATTGCATAATTTTCAGTGATTTTTACAATTTTAATTGGTTTACAACTTGATGTATGATTAAACTAATATTCATTTGCATTCATTCTGTGATACATTGTTTTTCTGTTTAGCATGATGCACAGCTTGATTACTATGGAACAAAACTGGCGACCTGTTCATCAGATCGGACAATAAAGATATTTGATGTTAAGAGTGGACAACAAACACTTGTGTCAGAACTGAGAGGGTTAGTATCACATTAAGATGTTGTGCACTGATTTTTGGGACTCACTAAAATTTTGGGACTCATGAAGATTTGGAAATTGGTTTTCTGGACTCATCTGGAAAAATCCTACAAAAAATACTTTTGTATAAATCAGATTCTATTGTTACAACTGAACTCTTGTTTATTTCCAGCTTCATTATCACATTACAAAAAGGAACGTACTGCAAATACAGAAAAAACCCATTTTATCTGAATCACATAAGATTAAATAAGCATACATTCTGACCCTCAAGACATAGGGTCTACAATATACAAAACTTTGACAATAGGATACATTTATGTGTAATCTTTAGCATGATTTTCACTGATGATTTAGGTGTAAGGATGATGTAACCTGTTTCGAGATGTGAAACATATTTTATGAAATGAAGAATAATGGCTACTAGTTCATGTTTTGTGTGAGGAGTAAGGGCAGTGTGTAAAACAATGAATAAGAAATGCCACTTTTTCTGTGTAAAGAAATATGATCTGAGTAAGTATTTCTTATATCTAAATAAAGAATGAGATGCCCAGTAATTTTTGTGAAAAGTTTTATGTGATGAGTTGAGAGCACTATTTCTAAAATTTTGATTTGTCCAGTAACAAAGAGATATAGTGTATTCTCATAATTTGAGTGTGTCCCATAGGAAAAGCAGGAGTTCAGAACTTGAATATCACTAAATGTCACTTTTCCCTGTAGATCTGTATAAGAAATAGTTATCTGAGTATTTTTCAAATTTGGATAAGGAATAAGAAATCCTACCTTTTCCTGTTTACAAGTTTATAAGAAATAGGGACATTGTTTTTTTCAAACAATTACTGGGTAGGAAAGACAGCAAGGAGCAAAGTGATTTTACACTACAATTTAACCAGGAAAAACAAATTGCTACCTTTCAAGTTTTATAGGAATTCAGAAAGTTTCCTGTATTTATTCTACTTTGTCCAATATCTCAAAACCATTGAATAAAGAAAATAATTTTTCCCAATTAATAAGGAATGAGGACAGAGCTACCATGTGTATTTGGTATAAAAGTAATAATGAAACCATTTGACAATCATTAATGAGGGGACAAAAATTTGCTACCTTTTTTCTGTACCCTTTTCCCAGTCCAAACAATTTTTAAATATGTTCTGCATCTGTTTCATTAAGTGTTTATCTATTGTCAAATTATTTTTTTTCAGACATGATGGTCCAGTATGGCAGCTTGCCTGGGCACATCCTATGTTTGGTAATCTGCTAGCGTCCTGTGGTTATGACAAAAAGGTTATCATATGGAAGGAAAGCAATGGAACCTGGGGAAAACTCTATGAATATCCTAATCATGATTCATCAGGTATTTCACAACACTGACAGAGAAAAAAAATTGAAGTGTCATCAGGTAGTACATCAAACACATCTGTACAGCAGATAAATCAGGAGTTGACTGTCGAAAGATATTATCATAGGTGTCCTGTTTTTGTATACTCAAAATCCCTAAAACAGCTAAAATGTCTTTTTGCTGACAAGGGATGCATACTTTCTTCCGTAAAAAATAACTTTCTTACTGTCTTTGTAAAGGTCTACAGTTATAACCTTGTTACATTCCATTCGTTTCAATTATTGATATCAGATTACCTGAAAATATAGTTAGCGGTTAAAGTCTCTGTATTTGTGTGCACACATTCAAGTAAATACATAAATGACAAACTATTCGTATCATTTTCATTGGTCAGGAACTGTGATCTGTTGTCATTTCAGAAATAATTTCTTTGTTATTTGGTTTTCAGTAAATTCTGTACAGTTTGCTCCTCACGAATTTGGTCTTATATTGGCATGTGGCAGTTCTGATGGGTCTATTTCAATAATATCCAGTGCAGGTAAGTCAGTTGTACTGATTGTCATGTTATTTTTTGTGATAATCATAAGAACACAGCATGCATTTTATCAGTGTCCCAACAATTGTTGCCGGATTTCTTCAGACAAGTCAAGAACGCAATTTTCAAAATTTTGATGAGTCCCATTTCAAAGAAATACAGTGGAATCTCAAAATTTGAGTAGTCTCACAGGAAAATCATTAATCTAGGACTCTAATATTCCTGGTGTCCTTTTTCTGTGAAGTATGCTGGGCTGTATACAATATTTCTTGCCCATGAGAAAGTTATTTTTCAAAAGTTTAAGCAAGTGTTTTTATTGAACTTTTAAAAAATGACTAACAAGAATGAAAGAACTACAATATAACAAGCATGAGATTGTGTGACTTGTTTCTACCACAATAAAAGATATTCTAAGGATAAATTGAGTGTCTTTGATATCAGTTGGAAATTAGTTTAATGTCAATGCAATGAGTTGATGAAAATCCTTACAGAAATCAAATTATTACAACAGTTGTGAACTACTGCACATTTTAGTTTTTGTGAGTTCACGAAGTGCCCTTTCAGTCAAAATAAACTTTGGAGTCAAAAGACTGGTAGGATAGATACTGTTAGTGGAATATATCATAAATTTATCCAACTGTCAGGTCCTTTAAACAGTGATCCGAGAGTGGAATTACACAATGTATCATAAATAGTTTCCATTTGAGAATAAATTTAGAACAAATTGGCAATAGAAATTGTTTTTTTTCCCATCATTTCCAAAAATCTGAGAAACCAAATGTTATAACTATATGTGTGTAAAATCATGGCAGTGAAGAAAATTATGCTTTTATAGTTAAGAATTCTGTCTATATGTATTTCACAATTTTGAAATTTCTAATCAAAAGTTTTGTTGGTTCAAGGTGATGGAGCATGGGATGCCAAGAAAATAAACAACGCCCACTCTGTAAGTCAACATCAACTGAAAATATAGAGGTCTTAAGGCTGAAATCTCTGATGACTGAGACAACCTGGCTATCAGAACTTGTATTAGTGGATATAGAAATTTACGATAGGAACAGTAGAAACAGAATGTAATGGAGTTGCAACTTCAGAATGTTTTGCAAAATAATTTCACTTACATATATCGTTTTATAAATTCAAATATCTTTAGTTTTATTTTGGAACAAATAGTTATAGAATTTTGATACAATGTATTTAGATCTAAATGCATTAGTATTGATTATGTTATAATTTTTAGCCTACTATCATCAGATTGTCTGTGGACAATCTTCTGTCTGTCTTCTGTTTGTCCATAAACAGTTTTTCTTATGGCTGTTTCCTGAGATGCAGTGAATGGATCTCTCTCAAATTTCCAATTTAGGTTCTCCTTAATCCGTAGTTGTGCCCGTTTGATTAGAAAAACAGATATGGTAGACTGACAACCATCTTAGAATTGGTAGTTAAAGATTATTGTCACTAATTCTTCAAGGAATTTCAAATTAAAAATCGTTTGTATTGAACAAAATCTTTATATTTCGTCCAGAAAAATTAATACTATGTTTTTAAAGTGTTCTTGACTGGTTTGGTTACAGATTGGTTGTAATGCTGTAAGCTGGGCACCCTCTATATCCCCTGGAGCCCTGTTAGATCAGTCAGTACGTCAGCAGGCTGTCAAGCGACTTGCATCAGGGGGATGTGACAATCTTGTCAAGATATGGAGGTAAGCGAGGATGAAAAACATAGTGGACACTGTGGCACTTTTATCTGTAAAACTGTCTATAAAACATGTTGTAGGGTCTGAAATGGTGTGAGAACATTATCACTCAAGTATCACATTACACAGCAGCTATGCACAGGAAACAGAGCACAGTAGATTTTCCAATCAACAGACTACAGTGTATCTTATTGAAAATTTGGGTGTCAAATTCTTAACAAATTTAAGCCTTCTCCTTATGCACCTGTTAAAATGCAGAGGTTATTGTTTGATTGATATCAGAAATTTACAATAGGGCCCATAAACACAGATATTGCTGACCCATCACACTCGGTCATTCTGACTGAAGCCAGGACATTTTTACATGAGACAATGTGATTTCTTAATGTTTACTACAAAAAAGGTAGAATTTTGGTAGAATTTAAAAGGGACAGATCTCAAAAAATATATTTGACACAAATGCAGTATTCGATTCGACAGTGTTGGAATACTCCATGTTTAGTTTACTAAAATAAAGAGACAACATCAGGACTGAACAAAACATTTAACTAATCTAATATATTCAAACCAAGTGAGTTTTTCTGTAACAGTAGATTGTTAGGAAATAATGGAAGAATGTTCCAAAAACACACTTTTTGAGTTTTGATAATTTCTTGATTACATCATCATTAGATTCATATGAGACTTGTATGAGCATGCATGTTTTATTAAATATTATTTACTTTAGGATAGCAGTACAATTCTTAGGTTCTTAATAATATCAGCGCATTGTTAGAATGGCATGTTTTCTGTGTGCAGTACACTAACAGATTCAAATGAATGTTTCAATGGCATCTGAAAGGTTTGCTAGATTTATTTTTCATGATAAATACACCCATTGTAGAGTATGATTTCTTTTGAACTGAATTAAAGTGATATTAAGAAGTCAGAATTTCTGACTTCATTTGAATGTATTCTTTCTCTGCACTATTGCTAACTTTGCCACTGCATAGCTCTAATATTTAATCTGATTGGTGATTTGATACAATGCTGAAAAGCCGTTAACAAACATGTTTTATATCTGGTGTAGGGAAGAAGATGGGCAGTGGAAGGAGGATCAGAAGTTAGACGGACATAGTGATTGGGTGAGGGACGTTGCCTGGGCACCCTCTATAGGTCTGCCAAAAAGTATCCTGGCAAGTTGTTCTCAGGTAAGGTTGATCAGAAGTTAGACGGACATAGTGATTGGGTAAGGGATGTTGCCTGGGCACCCTCTATAGGTCTGCCAAAAAGTATCCTGGCAAGTTGTTCTCAGATAAAATGGATCAGAAATTATAACAACATAGTGATTAGGTGATGGATGTCACCTCGGTATCCTTTATAGTCTGTGGAAAAGATTTCTGACTAGTTCTGGTGTAACTGGATATTTGATTACCCCATCCACATACATGATAGGGATGAAGTGTTCACGTTTTGCACATGCATGCTGGCCTTTCTGTCATCTTGGTTAAATTTTGTGTTAAGTTCCTTTGCTCTTACTCTAGAAGTAGATGAGATAGGAAATCTACATAAATGTACCAATGTGAGTCACTGTGACCTATATTTGGCATTTCACAAATCAGTTTCAAATTCATCCCTCTGATTTGAATTTGAGTTTAGTTTCTTTGTTATCAAAGTCTGCAGGTCCATGCATACATTTTACCAACATTTCAGTTATTAATTAGTGTAAAACCAATTTGAAGAATTAATTGAAATCTTAATATGTATAAATAATATGCACTTTCAGAGAGGTTGGTGAGGTGAGAGATATGTTGAGTGGTTGGTAATTAATTGAAACAATTTTACAGGATTTCCGGGTTATGATTTGGACTAATGATGGAACAAGCAGCGACTGGACATCTAAAACACTAAATAAGTTTAACGACGTTGTGTGGCATCTTAGTTGGTCAATCACAGGAAACATTCTGGCTGTATCAGGGGGAGACAATAAGGTAACATATGTCAGCATTAATGAAAATAGGGATTTTCCATGTTAATTATTACTTAATAATGTTAGGAGACGTTTTTTGAGCAGATGATAAAAAATAGACTTGAACTAGTTCTGATTATAATTACTTTTTTTTTTTATAAAGTTCTGCACTTGCTGCACTGACAAATGGGAGAAATATACAAAAGTTAAAGTGCAGGGAAAGTTTCCTAATATACAATATAAGATGTTCTCTCAGAACTGAATTTTTTTACATTTTGTTGTTTTCAATTCTAATTTGTAAAGTTTTGACCAGAGGTTTGACCTGTTTTTAATGATTGTGTTTTCAGGTCAGTCTATGGAAGGAGACACTAGAAGGGCAGTGGGTGTGTATCAGTGATGTTACCAAAGGTCAAGGTCAAGTCACAGACAGTCAAAAGGGCTCCTCAAGTTGATACAGTAACCATAGTGATTCAGTAACAATCTCAGCCAGGACTGTACTGGGGACCATATGTGTGTTATGACTTTGCTATCCAAATCACCAGACAGGCACAGACACATATCAAATGGTCCCCAAAACAATATGCCATAAAATTCTTTGCAATTTTCATTAAGATTGTATAAATGATGAAGATGGACTGTGTGGACCTGTGGTTGGGGCACATTGAGGAGACATGGGTGTTTTGTAACAATCCTTATTTCAGTCCTCAGTGATTGTAATGGAGACATGGTGCCAATTTCTATTATTTATACAAGCATTAGGACACTCCTATAAGGGGTGTGAGTTTTCAGCTATCAGGGTTTGTAAAAGCCATCATTATTGAATATGGATTTTTGAAATTTTACGGTTCATTAGATATGAAACCACGGTTTCTCTGCAGAAAATGTGTTTCAAATTTTCGGAATTTTGTCATATACTAATTCTATGATTGAATATGAAATGAAGAAGGGACTGAATGTTCACCAATTACAAAGTATCTGTGAGGGATATTTTATGACAAGTTGTTTCCATCCAAATGTTAAAGAAAATTTTCATTGAGCTGATAAATAGTGCTCATTTCTTTAAAACCTTAGTATCATACAGAATGTATAATACTTTATACTTCAATTTTGTACCTTGATCTCAAATCACTGACTGGTAATGTGTTTGATTTCAGTGCTCCATACGAGGATTAAGATAGGAGAGTTAAGTATCTCTCTATCTAGGTTGTAAATAATGAAAAAGTACAACTTGATTAAATCTAGGGCTACACTTGTATCTCACAACAGTAAAACTATAATGTTCTGTAGAGGTGTTATTGCGATCATGTCTGGCATGTCTACAAGGAACTCTTGTGCAGTAGACAAGACATTTGTAAAGTCTGGCTTAACAGCTTTCATAACTTTCTCTAAATTAGTATTTGTTTTCAAAGAAATGGAGTGCCCCACTTGAATTTGGTTTAATTGAAATTCTTATCACTTTCCACAAAACCAGGCACAAAAAAAATTTTGAAAGAGGTCTCGTTTTTATTTATTGATTTTTCTTATTAGAATTATGGTGATATGCTGATCATTGAACTAAGAAAGTGAACTTTTATTCATAAGGGGCTCACCAGAACTCATGAAGTGCTTTTGAGGACTAAGATAATACATGTACCAAAGAAAATTTTGAAATGTAAAATAACAAGAGGCTTAACCGAGTTTACATGTCATGTTGCTTTCTACACAGAAAATCTTTTGAAATTATTATTCATTTTCATAGGAAATACTTCTTATGCTTGCATATTGATATGGCAAGAATTTGTTGTGTTGATGTTGTGTGGAAATGCACTGTATATTGAGGTATTTTGAGGATATTTAAATCCTTACTATTACAGTTGTCTGTCTTGGCACCATCCTTACACAACTATTTTTGTTGCAAGGACATAAAACCCTATAACAGTAAAAACAAAAATCAATTGTCGCAACATTATCAGGAAATTCTGTATTATAAACATGATATAATGTACATGTAATTGTGCATGGCTCTTTGCAAATGTATTGAGAATATTCATGAATTTGAAAGAAAACACTGGTTTGTGCCTCAGTTAAAGTCTTTTCTGATAAGTAATGGACTTTTAACAAGTAAAGGTAAATAACTTAATATATCCAGTGTATTTTTAGGTTATTTCAATTCTAACTGTTATAGGGGTCTGTCTTGACATCTGTCCTTATATGAGCCAGGCTGTAGTGAGGATATGTAAATAACTATCAAATTACCATGTGTACTGATAACTGTGTGCTGAGAGAGAGTGGAAAGTGAGAACTGATAAAAGAGAATACCACTATATATAATGTAGATGTTGGTGTAAATACAGTTTTTGAATGACTAATACTGCGTTCTAGTTTTATTAGAAGACATACAACTTCACACATTTGTTATAATTGAAGAGATGGTCATTTGGATTATGATTCCTCTCAATCTATATTTCAATTTGTCCATTCTCCTTTAGTAGATATGTAATGAGTAAGAAATACAGTGTACACTGACTTTTGTATCACCATGATCAAACCATCTGGACAGATCTCAGTGGCTCCTGGTTGATTTTTTGGTACAGGCTAGTCCAACTCCATTTTAGACTTGTCGGTACTATTTGGTACAGGCTAGTCCAACTCCATTTTAGACTTGTCAATACTATTTGGTACAGGCTAGTCCAACTCCATTTTAGACTTGTCAACACTATTTGGTACAGGCTAGTCCAACTCCATTTTAGACTTTTCAATACTATTTGGTACAGGCTAGTCCAACTCCATTTTAGACTTGTCAATACTATTTGGTACAGGCTAGTCCAACTCCATTTTAGACTTGTCAATACTATTTGGGACAGGCTAGTCCAACTCCATTTTAGACTTGTCGGTACTATTTGGGACAGGCTAGTCCAACTCCATTTTAGACTTGTCAATACTATTTGGTACAGGCTAGTCCAACTCCATTTTAGACTTGTCAACACTATTTGGTACAGGCTAGTCCAACTCCATTTTAGACTTGTTGGTACTATTTGGTACAGGCTAGTCCAACTCCATTTTAGACTTGTCAATACTATTTGGTACAGGCTAGTCCAACTCCATTTTAGACTTGTTGGTACTATTTGGTACAGGCTAGTCCAACTCCATTTTAGACTTGTCAATACTATTTGGTACAGGCTAGTCCAATTCCATTTTAGACTTGTTGGTACTATTTGGTACAGGCTAGTCCAACTCCATTTTAGACTTGTCAATACTATTTGGTACAGGCTAGTCCAACTCCATTTTAGACTTGTCGGTACTATTTGGTACAGGCTAGTCCAACTCCATTTTAGACTTGTCGGTACTATTTGGTACAGGCTAGTCCAACTCCATTTTAGACTTGTCGGTACTATTTGGTACAGGCTAGTCCAACTCCATTTTAGATTTGTCGACACTATTTGGTACAGGCTAGTCCAACTCCATTTTAGACTTGTCAATACTATTTGGGACAGGCTAGTCCAACTCCATTTTAGACTTGTCGGTACTATTTGGGACAGGCTAGTCCAACTCCATTTTAGACTTGTCAATACTATTTGGTACAGGCTAGTCCAACTCCATTTTAGACTTGTCAACACTATTTGGTACAGGCTAGCCCAACTCCATTTTAGACTTGTTGGTACTATTTGGTACAGGCTAGTCCAACTCCATTTTAGACTTGTCAATACTATTTGGTACAGGCTAGTCCAACTCCATTTTAGACTTGTTGGTACTATTTGGTACAGGCTAGTCCAACTCCATTTTAGACTTGTCAATACTATTTGGTACAGGCTAGTCCAATTCCATTTTAGACTTGTTGGTACTATTTGGTACAGGCTAGTCCAACTCCATTTTAGACTTGTCAATACTATTTGGTACAGGCTAGTCCAACTCCATTTTAGACTTGTCGGTACTATTTGGTACAGGCTAGTCCAACTCCATTTTAGACTTGTCGGTACTATTTGGTACAGGCTAGTCCAACTCCATTTTAGACTTGTCAGGGTACTATTTGGTACAGGCTAGTCCAACTCCATTTTAGATTTGTCGACACTATTTGGTACAGGCTAGTCCAACTCCATTTTAGACTTGTCAATACTATTTGGGACAGGCTAGTCCAACTCCATTTTAGACTTGTCGGTACTATTTGGGACAGGCTAGTCCAACTCCATTTTAGACTTGTCAATACTATTTGGTACAGGCTAGTCCAACTCCATTTTAGACTTGTCAATACTATTTGGTACAGGCTAGTCCAACTCCATTTTAGACTTGTTGGTACTATTTGGTACAGGCTAGTCCAACTCCATTTTAGACTTGTCAATACTATTTGGTACAGGCTAGTCCAACTCCATTTTAGACTTGTTGGTACTATTTGGTACAGGCTAGTCCAACTCCATTTTAGACTTGTCAATACTATTTGGTACAGGCTAGTCCAATTCCATTTTAGACTTGTTGGTACTATTTGGTACAGGCTAGTCCAACTCCATTTTAGACTTGTCAATACTATTTGGTACAGGCTAGTCCAACTCCATTTTAGACTTGTCGGTACTATTTGGTACAGGCTAGTCCAACTCCATTTTAGACTTGTCGGTACTATTTGGTACAGGCTAGTCCAACTCCATTTTAGACTTGTCGGTACTATTTGGTACAGGCTAGTCCAACTCCATTTTAGATTTGTCGACACTATTTGGTACAGGCTAGTCCAACTCCATTTTAGATTTGTCAGTACTATTTGGTACAGGCTAGTCCAACTCCATTTTAGACTTGTCAGTACTATTTGGGACAGGCTAGACCAAATCCATTTTAGACTTGTCATTACTATGTGGAACAGGCTAAACCAACTCCATTTTAGACTTGTCAGTACTATTTGGGACAGGCTAGACCAAATCCATTTTAGACTTGTCATTACTATGTGGAACAGGCTAAACCAACTCTATTTCAGATTAGTCAGTATCAATTGATTCAGAGTATCGCAATTACACGTCAGATTTGTCAATATCATTGGTACAGTCTAGCCCAATTGCATTTCAGACTTGTCAGCATTTTTCAGTATATTTCAGACTTGCTAGTATCACTGGGTACAATCTAGCCCAACTGCATTTCAAACTTGTCAGTATTATAGTAGCAAACAAACTCTTCCTGTCATCGCAACATTAAAATTCTTGGGAGAGAAAACAAGATTTAACACTGTTGAAGAGTTAGTTTATTTGTACACATAACTTTGCACCATAACAATGAAGACAGCGGATATTGCACAACTATATATATTTTTATATATATACGATGACTAATTATGATGAATTTGCATAATTTTATAATGGTGAATATAATCAACCCAGCATGGTTTCCAACAATTTGCACAAAATTTTCTTCATTAATTTTTTTCAGATGAGATTATTCAATCCCACAATATATAACAATATTTGGAACTAGAATCCAAACTGGTTGCAATAATTGAATCTTATGACCCTCTTAGCATCACACCAAATAAAAAATTGCTTGGTTTTACATAAGCAGGCAGTTTTTGTCATAATGTATACAGTATTTATTGAGTAAGTCAAAACAGACTAGCATATCTGTGAGAAACCATATCATGAATATCTCAAAAGTTGATAAAGTACCATTATTATCATTTCTTCTTTTTATCAAACCTAAGAATGTTCCTAATTTCTAGAATGTCTGTGTACAAACTCTGTCATCAACATTGAGTCGGTGAGGACTTTGTAAATATGCTTTGTGCCACACTCATGATATTCAATTTACTTAGGCTAATAGTTGTGGTGCATAAAAAACTAAACTGCCAACATTTACAGTGTTAATCTACAGGAAAAATGACATATTAATTAACAAAGAAATTAACATTGAGATTAAAAGGATATCTCATATAATGATCTACATATATTTGGATTTCATTTGTGTATAAGTAAAAATATTAATAAATAAAAAAAATAATATGAAACAACCAGAAGTAAACGAGTAAAATACAGTAACAATAGGCCCCATGGGCCTGTATCACTCACCTGGTATTCAATGTTCATCTCAAATACACAAGCATTTCACAACACTTCATCTAAGAACACATCTGTCAAATATGCTTCTGGACCTTTTGGCAATAAACCAAAATACTGCTAATCATTTAAAGGTTTTGACAAAATACCCATGTGACCTTGAATATGGGTAAGGTCATTTCCAAACATTTGTCAGCCTTGATCTCTTGACACTATCAGACAAATATACTTCTGTGCCTTTTAGTTAGTCAGAAGAATTTTGATTCCTATGACCTTGAATATGGGTCATGGTAATTTCTTTTCAAAAGCTTTGTTGGGATATTACACTAGGAACTTATCAGTAAAATATTGTGCTTCTGTGCCTTTTGGTTAATCAGAAGAAGTTGTTTTAAGGTTTAACTTATTTGACCCCTGTCACGCTTCATCCCAGTAACCCACTACAAATACCATGACATTCGGACAACGGACACTGAGCCACAACATAGCTCATCTGGCCTTTTGGGCTGGGTGAGCTCAAAATATAAATGCTTAAAGGCTATTCACAATCAATATAACTCAAAACTTGAGGCAAACTTTCTGGAACAATAATCAAGAGTTTCTAGCAGGGAAGCAAAAAGTTTTTTCACAGGCATTTACCCTTCAGTAAAAGCATAACGTTAGTTAAATCCTTTCTTTTTAACTATGAATTCTACATATAACTTTGGAATGTACATACTAAAAAAAAAATTGACACTTTTCAAATACCACTCCACTGAACAAATACTCTTAATTTTCACTGACAACCCTAGTGTATAAAATACAATCACTCCGATGATCATCCTTTATAGTTATATATGATAAACCCTGTATATCCTACAAAGTGACTGAAGCATTCAGCTATGTAAGAACTCCATCCTCTTGGTGTCTACAATACACATAAAACAAAGAGACATACATATGATCAATTGGAAAAGGCTGGAGGAACCATTACCATTCAACAAAATAAAACAATTACACAATATAAATCTAACATTCAGAAATTCAACGTCAACAAACAAGGGCTATAACTCAGATAATACAACAATAGCTCCATGGGGCTTCTATTGCTTGGAATACATACTAACAATATCACTTGATTTTTCACCCTTTAAGATAAGAAACTATTTTATTCGTTCAGATGGCCTTAAAGGTCAGGCAAGATTTTCATCTTAGTACATCAACTCAAACATTGTGACACCGGAATGTACTCCTTTTAAACAATCAACATTATTTTGCAAAATTTAAACATTAACTTGTCAAAACTTTTGTAAATGACGCTATTTTCAACAAAACGTGTTTTACTTCAATGAATTCCTAAGTCTTTTCCTCGTTACTGTTCTTGTCTACAATCGTATATGGATTACATCATGGGAAAATTTAAGTTAATTTACAGACATAAAGTGCATGGTAGTAATTTCACAATTATAACTGTTGCTTACTATTTTAAAATCTTGATAACTCTGCTGGAGAAATATACATTGCCTCATATTTGTTCATCCTTCTGAAATGTCAAACAAAACAAAAAGACTGTTTCACATTTTTTTGTTCTTTTTCAAAAAAATGTCAATGAAAAGAGAAAATCACTGAAATTTTTACGAAGATCTATTACCCGGAAATAATGATATTAACCATAATTTTAGGAATGGTAGACAGTAGCTATTAACCAGGAATAATGAAATAAACCATAGTTCTATGAAAGGTAGATAGTAGATACTAACCAGGAATAATGATATTAACCATAGTTCTAGGAATGGTAGACAGTAGCTATTAACCAGGAATAATGAAATAAACCATAGTTCTAGGAATGGTAGATAGTAGCTACTAACCAGGAATAATGATATTAACCATAGTTCTAGGAATGGTAGACAGTAGCTATTAACCAGGAATAATGATATTAACCATAGTTCTTGGAATGGTAGACAGTGGCTATTAACCAAGAATAATGATATTAACCATAATTCTAGGAATGGTAGACAGTAGCTATTACCCAGGAATAATGATATTAACCATAGTTCTAGGAATGGTAGACAGTAGCTATTAACCAGGAATGATCTCATTTGTATACAACATTATCAACCAGATGATGAGGTAAAATACATATATTATTAGACAGTATATGGTTTAGTATTTGTCCAGTTAACCGTGAACCAGTAGCAGTTAGTTGTTGCTATATTAGGTAAATATTGTAATGCTAAACTGACCTCTAGGTTACTGGTAACATCCTACAGGTGTTAACTAAAACTCAATCACGTAACAATATCTGTGTTCTATATGGTCACTGGCCTTTCTTGGTTTTGTAAAGTTAGTTATTGGGTTGATACAATTTTCAGACCAGCAAGACTTACTGGCTTCAAAATGTTTAGTAATGCCTTCACCAGCTTTCAACTACAACTGAAGATAGTTTAGTATTGACTTCACCAGCTCGCAACTTCAACATAAAGCCTTTTGGTATCAACTTCATCAGCTATCAACTACAACAGAATCCATGTTCTACATCCATCCAGCAAAAGAGATTCTTGTTTTACTACTGACTAAATGTGGGTTTGATGATGGAAAACTCTGATGATAATGATAAAAACACATCTTTGCCATAATATTGTCATGATAACATAAAACATTCTCTAAAAAATCTCATTCTACATAGCTCAACTAACATTCACAAATTATAAATAAATACTTAATGTTCTTTAGAAAAATCCATAACGTGAAAGTGATTCTCATTCTACCACAATTATGTCCTCATGGTTACAAAGTCTATAACTCAGTTCTCACACTCGATCTCTTGTCTCATGGAGGAAGTTAGACCCAACCCAACATCCAGGTTAGTGAAAAACTATTCCATCTAAGTATTGTAAAAAGATTGAAAACAAATAACTTTACTACAATAGAGTTAGAAAATACAACTAGTAGAAGATTTGAACTACGCACACTTATGACCAAGAGTTAAACAAAGCATAGCAAAATTGACTTTAATACATTGTTACCATCTTGTGTACTTTTTATAGTTTGTTCACCATCTTGTCACACTATTTTTGACTTTCGTATACAAAGGATTCTAGCACAGTCGAAAAAAGTTGGTCAAGTCCTGACCTTCTTGTACACTACGTACGTCAGAACTAGAACTCTTAACAGTGGTCATTTGTCTGATGAAGGTGATCATGTAGTCATCAAAATGTCACACTCAAATCTTCTACTGGTTGTGTTATATAAATAAGAACTTCTATTGATATAACTTACCCGAAGAAAATGTTAAAAAAAAAAAAAACTTTAATGGAATTCGCTTTTAAAAAAAATCAGTTCAGAATTTTGTCACTTCTGAGTTTCATTGTTATTTGAACTCCAGAATTACAAAAAAAACAAAAAAAAAAACAGAGTATAATGTTATTTCACCAAAATATATACATTGCATACTGTCATATGATGTAGATAATCATTAAATCTGTCCTGGTGTTGTACTAGAGCAAAGCTTCAACCTGAGCACAAGTATCGAGGGAGCTAGTATATATACATATGTATCTGTAAGTCGACTTAAACCTACGGTACATATCTACATACAATAAATATTTACACACGCTGAGAAACCAGTAGATATACAAGATGAACAATCATTACATACAATGAAATTGTAAATATGTATATTATCTATTTTGTGTAAATTGCAAAAAATTATTGAATACGAATGCAAGTATATCACACCTATGATTTTTATGTTATGGAAGACATTTCACGCTAAATGAAATGTGAATTAATGTCCCCAGTAGTACATATGGAATGGTCAGTTTGTGAAATTAAGTATGTGTGAGATAGACAAAACATCAGATCATATAACAAATTTGTTCCTAAAGCTAAGTATATGCTTTACTAAGACAGCAAGTATCATAAGAATTTTACAAAAGTATCTTCATATGACCAGTGTCTTTCACAGGAATAAATGCATTCTAATATCAAGTTAAAATCCATTGGTTAAAAAAGTGAGAGATACAGGAGACTAAATATACATCCACGACCATAATAATCTTAATAATCCTAAATTAGAATTTTAAAGAAAATAATTGTACAATGTAATATAATTCAGAAATTGCATTTCACAAAATCATTTATTCATAGGAATAGAATGTCCTCTAATCTAAGGATGTTTAATTTTTTACACACCAGTTTACTCAAATGATCCCTGGCAGCATACTGACCATAAAGAGATGGAAAGTTTACTTCTCTTCAATAATCAGTTTTTTTCTATTATCAGTCCCTTCTACAATCCTGTTGTACAGACTTGTCAAATATCATCTACTTTAGGTTGTATACATAAGTTAACTGTTCTCACGAAACACATCTAGGAAAATGATACGTGCCCTCACATGATATAATTATCCCTCTCCTGACCGCGACTGTGATCAGTATGGCTATGAAAGGTGAATGAGACCAGTCATTTAGTAGTCCTGCTTATCTAGATTGATTGACCTTCACCTCTTTTCTGTGACACGATATTTGCAAATCCTACAACTTCCTGCACTGTGACCATCTTCTGCATTATAACCATTCTGCCAAAAAATTTTCTGACTTATAACACCCCTTAAACTGTGCCGTTGTCTGATCTGTGACTTTTTGACCTTAGATAACCTATGACCCTTACATCGTTTTCTAGCCGACCTGATACTTTTGCCATGTGTTTTAAAAAATTAAGAGACATCTTATAAAGTCCACATTTTTTTTATATAACAATATCCAATGACAGATATCATCGGCTGTGTTATGTTAAATATTACACCATGCCCATCATAAAGACATTCATTTCAGCATACCCAGAAAATCTGACAACAGAAGTCTTAGAAAACATGTCTCCATTGTTCTTCTCTTGTGGTTGGACTCCACTTGCATTGCTGTTGCCTGCCTTGCCTCTACCCCGTAAGTGAGCGTTACACCTACCCTCTGGCTGTTCTATCCTAGTAGTCAGACTCCCCACTACTTGCATTGCTGCAATTACAGCTGCTTGCTTCGCCCCCACCTTGGAAGTGGCGAGCAGTATGACTACCCTCTGGCTGTTCTTTCCTAGTAGTCAGACTCCCCGTTACTTGCATTGCTGGCAATACTGCTGCCCGTCCCACCCCCACCTAGGAAGCGTGAAGTATGACTATCCTCTGGCTGTTCTATCCTAGTAGTCAGACTCCTCCCTACTTGCATTGCTGGAATTACAGCTGCTTGCTTCGCCCCTACCTAGGAAGCGTGCAGTATGACTACCCTCTGGCTGTTCTATCCTAGTAGTCGGACTCCTCACCACTTGCGTTGCTGGCATTACTGCTGCCAGCCCCACCTCCACCAAGGAAGCGAGCGGTACGACTATTTTCTGGTTGAGTAACAGACTGAGTGGCTTCCTCCACCTGTAAAATATAAAGAGCCAAACGGTTAACTAATACAAACTACAATAATCCACTTAAACCTGAGGTGTCCTACATACTGCCTTTCTTGTTCTGTATTGTAAGTGAATCAATAAATAGGAATGAAAAGTTGGAAGTAAATTATTGAGTTATCATAGAAAATAGATTTAGGTGATAATTCAGTAACGATATAACTCATTGCAATATCTATTCCTAAACCTGTAATTGATTGATAAGACTTAGTGTTTAGTGTCCTGTAATACTTATGCGAATTTTCTTCTGTACATGCATGTGTGACATATTACACCTGTAATAATAACTGTCTGACCTGTATAAACACCTGTATACATACCTGTGTGACACCATTTTATACCTGTGTGACATACGCCTGTACACATACCTGACACACACATGTATACATACCTGTGTGACATATGCCTGTACACACAGTTGTAAGATACATCACACCTGTATACATACCTGTGTGACACCATTTTATACCTGTGTGAAATACATTTGTACACATACCTGTTTGACACATCACACCATATATACATACTGTAAATGTGGAAATTTACGTGACAGGGAAATTTACACTAATTACGCGAAGGTTGTTAGATTACAAAAATTTCTCCAGTATTTAAAATTTTTGACATGCTTAAATTTTGTAGATGAAATAAAATGAAAATTGGTTTGCGATACCTTGTTTTATTTTATTGATTTCTCAAACACTTCATTGTAACATATTACAGCAAAATCAAATAAACAATCCGTTACAAAGTTCTGCTTCAAGTCAAAGATTATTGTTACACAACAGAATATATACACAAGACAAGCAACAATTTTCATTCCATTTGATTTCATTAAGTCTAATAATTCCTGATTTCTGTGTGCCTTGAATATGTTGAAAACAACAAGGGTTTTCTGATCAGCCTGTCGTAATGGTAAGTTTTTGTGTATTTTCCACGTACGGTAAGATTATCTTCCCAAAATACTCTTTCATGCTGCTCCATAGTTCTATAGATTTTTAAAAATTTAATCACTTTTTTAATTGTTTGAAATAATCTGATAAGTTTTTTTTTTTACATCTTTTGCATCCTTCCATCCAACAATGATTTAGCCCATTCCCTTGTGAGTTCTATATGACCACCATTCTCTGCCAGTAAGGACTCATTGTTTTGGTTTATCAACACACCTTTACCAATGCTTTGCACTATATTGGTGTTTACAACTCCACCTACTTCCCTTAAATCTTTGATGAAATCAGTTACAAGGAATCCAATTCATCACTTAGAAGTTTTGGTTGCCCACAAGTTTTAGATTCAACCCTTTCTAGTGCTCTGTCGTATTGTGAAGAGTTTGCTGGTAAATATAGTTCCTTTTAATGGTTCGCACAGAACTTGAATTTATTTTACGTACAATTACACCACTGAAATGTTTGGCAGCCCTGCTTGGTCCTTTATCAATTACATATAATGAAATTTTGGCCTTTTGTTCCGAAGTATAATGGGAATATATCTATGTTTTCTTTCTGGACTCGGGAGTTTTGTACTCAAATTCCTTTATAGATTTTACCAACTCACATCTAACGGTAGTATCTACTAGGTTTGGTTCAGGTAATCCATAAGTCCTTTTTTTCTATGTTTTAGTTAAAACCTTAACAATATGACACTGACATATACCATGATGTAAAGCTGTGTGAAGGTTGTGTGTGTATCTTAACTGTATTTCTTATAATATCCAAGAAACACATTATCCACTTCAAAATACACAAAAACAGCAAGTAGTCATATGTATGGAAATTTTTGCTAATTCTCCGAATGTCATTAGATTGAAAAAATAACCCCCACGCATATAGTTTATCCATAAAAATCATAAAAATGACCCCCCTACAGAGATTTCCACAGTTACAGTAACTGACATGTGTGACACATCACACCTGTATACATACTAGAACAGTACTTACTGTATATGGTTTATGATACACTTACCTGCAGGCGGCTGCACACTGTCTGATAAGTCTTGGTATTCAGTGTACTTTCTGGCACACCTTGCAGTTCAAAATCAGAGAAACATTTCTGTAAGAAGAAAAATAGGTATACAAGCTTAACTCATTCCATCTCAGGTAGCGACTGACTGATCTCTAAACATTTTTAATGTCATCAAAGAAACCCTAACCCACAAAACATTGTATGGTGATCACAACAGTTGCTGTAGTGTCAGTAAATGTCTTACCCTATTTATGGTCATCACACATGTCAGCTGGTACACGTGTAGGGAGAGGTCAAGCCGGTCAGTCAGCCAATCACAAATCATCTTCATCTGACCTGTGTACCATTGCTACAGAGAAATCATTTTTCAGTTAAAATGTAATACAGAAGCAAACAAACAGAATCGTGAGGAAGTTTGTAATCAATTTGGACCAACATGGATTACGTTGGGCCAAGTTATAACGTTACCATAGCTATAATAATCATGACATGCAATCCATATCTTTACATATTTGCTTTTAACCCATTCCTGAGATTTCTAATACATCTTTAAATGGCTGACTTAGTCAAGTACTGCCTTACCTCAAATATTGATAATGTGAATAGTTCATCAGCGATCTTTTGTCGAAGTTGCTCCAGATTGCCCCTCATGAAATCTACATAAGATTTTCCTAGTTCATTCACTGGTTTCTGTAGAAGACATCAGTATATACATAGTATACATATATATATATATACATATATAGAAGTTGATAGTTAATAAAGGAAGCATTGCTGTTTCTATCTCCAGACATTTGAGAAAGGGTGAGGTGGGGTTAGGGTAGACATGGGGGTTTGCTTTTTTTGCATCCCTCTTAGATTAAGCTGAGTAAGTAAAAATGAAAGGCCCCCCCCCCCCTCTTGACTACAAAGGTTAAAGATTACTCCCAGAACATACTTAAATTCTAGTGCAGTTCTATCATTATAAGTAAATTTACTTACTGTGAGAGACAAAATGGAAGAGAAAAAAGTCCCCTCATCATATCGAGCCAACTTTGCAAAGACCGATTCCATAACCTGTAGAAACTGTTAAAATCAAAAGCATAAGTTAAATGCATTATGCCTGTATATAGACAAACACAAAATCTGTCTCTTAAGGATTACAAAATGGCTAATTTCATTGATACTGAAGTAGCATTTCTTACAATGGCTAATATTGATCTTTAACTAAATAGCATGTTTCACAATGGCTAACTTCATGAATTTTCAAATAAACAGCATTCTCAACATTGTGTATTTCATCAACAGATATTGATAAAAGGCCCCATTCTAAGTAAACTGTTGGACACCTTATCTTAGATATTGACATATCTTGCCCCATTCTAAGTAAACTGTTGGACACCTTATCTTAGATACTGACATATCACGCCCCATTCTAAGTAAACTGTTGGACACCTTATCTTAGATATTGACATATCTTGCCCCATTCTAAGTAAACTGTTGGACACCTTATCTTAGATACTGACATATTACGCTCCATTCTAAGTAAACTGTTGGACACCTTATCTTAGATACTGACATATCACGCCCCATTCTAAGTAAACTGTTGGACACCTTATCTTAGATACTGACATATCTTGCCCCATTCTAAGTAAACTGTTGGACACCTCATCTTAGATACTGACATATTACGCTCCAATCTAAGTAAACTGTTGGACACCTTATCTTAGATACTGACATATTACGCCCCATTCTAAGTAAACTGTTGGACACCTTATCTTAGATACTGACATATTACGCCCCATTCTAAGTAAACTGTTGGACACTTATCTTAGATACTGACATATCAGGCCCTATTCTGTGTGCATTCATTAACTAACTTACCTTGATATATAAAACAAATCAATTTTTTAAGGACATTAAGATTAATGCTTGTATCTATTTACTTTTGATATTAAGTGGTATGACATATTAGCCCCATTCTAAGTAAACTTTTCATTAACAGAAATAATAAGTTGTTCTGTGTGCATTCATTAACTAACTTACCTTGATATATAAAACAAATCAATTTTTTAAGGACATTAAGATTAATGCTTGTATCTATTATTTTGATATTAAGTGGTATGAGTTAGGACTAACATTTTCATTAACAGAAATAAGTAAGTTGTTAAGTTTGAAATATTGATAAATACTATATATATAAACATATGGACAAAAATAAAAGAAAATATCAAACCTTTTCAATGAGACATTTGACCATCTGCATCTGGACACGGTCCAGAAATTCTTCTATTTTGGTGTGGTACTGATGCTACAAGAAAAGACAGGAAGTCAATAATTGGTAATAATTATCCTGTTTGTGACTAGCTGTATGTCATCAGGCCCTGCTGATGTACACAGGATAATGAGTTATTGGTCTATTACTACACAAGATAGATTAATAGTAACTGGTAATAATTATCCTGTTTGTGACTAGCTGTATGTCATCAGGCCCTGCTGATGTACACAGGATAATGAGTTATTGGTCTATTACTACACAAGATAGATTAATAGTAACTGGTAATAATTATCCTGTTTGTGACTAGCTGTATGTCATCAGGCCCTGCTGATGTACACAGGATAATGAGTTATTGGTCTATTACTACACAAGATAGATTAATAGTAACTGGTAATAATTATCCTGTTTGTGACTAGCTGTATGTCATCAGGCCCTGCTGATGTACACAGGATAATGAGTTATTGGTCTATTACTACACAAGATAGATTAATAGTAACTGGTAATAATTATCCTGTTTGTGACTAGCTGTATGTCATCAGGCCCTGCTGATGTACACAGGATAATGAGTTATTGGTCTATTACTACACAAGATAGATTAATAGTAACTGGTAATAATTATCCTGTTTGTGACTAGCTGTATGTCATCAGGCCCTGCTGATGTACACAGGACAATGAGTTATTGGTCTGTTACTACCCAATATAGATTAACTACTGTCCCTTTTACTTCTAAGACATACAATATCAGGCCCTGCTGATGTACACAGGACTTGGTCTAATACTTCACAAGATAGATTAATAGTAACTGATAATAATTATCCTGTTTGTGACTAGCAGTATGTCATCAGGCCCTGCTGATGTACACAGGACAATGAGTTATTGGTCTGTTACTACCCAAAACAGATCAACTATTGTCTTTCTTACTTCTAAGACATACAATATCAGGCCCTGCTGATGTTCACAGTAAACAACTTCTAAGTTAAAGTTAAGATTACAAAAAGCTGACAATTTCTCTCCTAAACCAATCATAATGTTGTTAACTATCCAATGGTAATGCAAATATCAACATCTGAATAAAATAACACTGAAGGGTATCAATGGTCTGCTGATTCCTTTCTTAACAGCCAAGCTCATCCTGAGGAGGGATCTCTCTGTAGTAGATTGAAACTATGCATACTTCATTACACACATTGCATGCTTTCCAAAGCAACTAGTGCCTTGCAAATGGACACAACCATAACAGCATAGAACAATCCCTGCTCTCGGTTTCCTGAGAAACATGAACAGCATGGAGTAAGGATTGAACCATAAACCTCTGGTTTCCAAGTGAGGCTACAAAATCAAAGGCTTGAAAAAATTGAGCTACAGTAATTCCAGTAATATTGAAAGGTTGACTTGCATGTTCATCATCCCAGGGGCTGGACACCAATAGAAATCTACAGTTAATATGTTACCTACCTGATGTTATTCAGGAAGAAATGCTACAGATAAAGACAATTATGAAGATGGAGACAGACAATATTATAATGTTACAGAGCCTATGATAATGGAAATTCTATAATTAACCCACTACACACAACAGTTTACTAGAGAAGTATCACTCTTTGTTATATATTATAGACAAACAAGGAACGATATTGACAGCAGTGGGGTCAGCAGGTCTTCCATCCCTGGTTAACTTTGATTAAAAAGCAGGTGTAATGGGAATAAGCAGGTGTGGGATGACAGGTTTGAAAGTGGTGGTGGGTATACACACTACTGATATATCATACAACATGTAGAGAAATGTTACACTTCTATATATCATGTATTATCTATTGATGTCTTAGTACTCTTGACAACTCATTCCTTATCCCTGTAAACCAGAATAATTTAGCTTTTTTTAAAAGGTCATCTGTTCCTGGCTATGTAGATTTACTAGTGAAATGATTACCATTAAAAGTTTCAATAAAAAAATGGCAGGTTAATATTGTATAAGTACCACATCTGAAATATTCCAAATCACAGCATCCAGACAATCAAGCCATAATAAACTTTGGGTTCATATCTAAAATATTTGAAAATTAACTGATAGGAAAATTGGGTTAACGTTTTAACACCCTTGCAATGAGGATTATATACAGACAGGTATGTAGGGAGGACACCCATAAAAGGTATTTAAGTCTGAAATATGAAAACTAGCAATTTTCTTTATCCTTCCCCTTAATATGCGAGTAACTATTGAATGTTTTTCAGTTCTAGCTTTAAAGTGTTGGCCTACAAAGAAAATACAACTGAAAGAGCAAAATAAATGATTAGAACTTTGCACATGAATGCTGAGGCAGGATTATGGGATGGTCTGCACAAAAGACAGGTTTAAAATAGAAACATGCCCACATCTGGTTACAGAACAACTGGTATGTACAGTAAAACCTTGTTACACTGCCACGTCATCAAGCAGAAATTTGGTATTGATTTTATAACATATTGGGAATCAAAAACAATTATCAGAGCAAAAGAATCCATGGAAAGCGGTGAGCACAGCATGAAACAAGTGGCATTATAATATGATTTTATTGTAAATGGGTTATTAAAGCTATCTTAGTTGCATTAAGAATCGTGAAGACTACATATACAAATGTACAATTATCTAAGCAAGATGGCAGCTGTCTTACAAATTCAGAAACAAAAATAAAACAGATTTGAATCTCATTCTGAGGGGACAGCATTGTTATAAAGTTCTACCCATAAGAAAATGGTAGACTGAAAATCTGGACATTCCAACCTTTCAATCTATAATTATTTTCGCGCAATAAGCCCATGTCTGTAAATAAGTCCATCAATATGTTTTGCAATATCAATAGATATGCCAACAATTGGAAAAGTTTTGCCATCCCCTCCTCCCACTTTCAATGGGCTTTTTGCAGGATAAATATGGTACATTGAGTTATGTAGGCTCCACGATTCTGCACCTAATCTAGCCATTGTACATGTTTTGGTATACACTGCAGGTAACTATGAACACACTTGTCTAGCTGAGGTGATACATGCTAAAATCACTTACCATGTTTTCACCACTATCCAGTGCACAAAGATGTAAGGCCTGTAGAACAAACAGTATTTTCAGGTGACAGAGTAAAAAGTGTTTTTAAAAGTACAGATGATTCAAAGAACACTACTGGCACTAACGACACATGCAAACCTTAATCTCAAATACAAACAATCATAAAAAGGTATAAAAATGTTCAATAAAAGATATCTTGCCAATTCTTCAGTGATAAATTCAAAAATAGATTCATGTGATGTGAAGAGATTAAGTACATGCAGTCCCACACTGGTCAACTCACCCTGTTTTTACAATCAATGATGACATTCATCATAACACACATTTCAGCATACGTAATGTAATCTGTGCCCTTCCCACCTTTCTTCAGCCAAGCTTCGAATGATTTCAGTGTGCTGTTAAAAAAGAGCTGACATTAATACTGACTCCTATATAAAGGTAAATAATCCCAACAATTAAGTTACACATATCTCACCAAATATTTAAAAACCATGAAGTCAGTATCTTAAAACTGTTAAAATTTAGCTTGATTCAGGATTGTAATTCATGTGTATTTTTATTCCAGAAAAAATGAGTTCAGCTTGATCCTACGGGACAAGGTGTGCAGCAAACAGACCTCCTGTCTACCATCATACCTGAGGCCATCTGCTGGTGCTTTGTCTGCCATCATCAATATGTGCCGACGGTCAAGGTGCTTGGTGAACATCACACTTACCATTTAGCTGCAGCCTCTATCATGTCTGCCACCATCAATTTGTGCTTGGTGAATATTCCACTTACCGTTTAGCTGCAGCCTCTATCATGTCTGCCACCATCAATTTGTGCTTGGTGAATATCCCACTTACCGTTTAGCTGCAGCCTCTATCATATCTGCTGCCATCAGCTTGAGTCTGTGGTCAAGGTGTTCGGCAAACACTTCTTCCGGCCAATGTAAGTCCCGTATAAATGACTGGAGAGCATCCAGCTTCCATAGCATGTCTTCAGAGGTAGCACATCCATTTCTATGGCAAATCAATAACAGAGTTATTTTCAAAGCTTAATTTTTTCATAAGGTATGTATATATTTAACAAAAACAATCCCCTTTTCTTCTAGGGGATCCCTTTTTTTCAGAACCTATTGATCTTAAGATAAATTTATTTTAACTCAAGTGTCAACTAAACTATCAGGTATTATCAAATGTTTTAATAAGTTAGCAACAGTCCACCTGTACTTAACCCTGAGAATCCTCTTGAGATTCACCCTGTACTTACCCTAGTGGATTAAATTGTCCTTATACTGTAAGTCCCCCTGTCCTTGCCCCTAAGGGTTTCCCTTGCACTTGTCCCTGATGATTCCACTGTACTTACCCTTCTGGATTCTCCTGAACTTCCCCAAAGGGTCCACCTTGTCCTTGTCCCAAAAGATCCCCCTGTAATTGCCCCAGAAAATCTCCCTTGTACTTGCCCCTGAGATTTCTATTGTACTTACCCCTGAGGGTCCCACTTTTCCCGTTCGAAGCCCTTGTGTATGGATTGTGCTATTGAGGATTCCATGAGATCAACATAGCGTACCACTTGTGGTGCAAAAACATTTCTCAGGTGCAGGTGAAATTTTCCATTGCATAAACTCTCTGTTAAAAATAAATTCAATCAATTAGCAGTGACTTACTGAACACATTCATTAAATTTTTCTGCATTCTATTATAGACTTGTTCCAACAAAAACCAAGATGTCAAAGTTCTGAGATAAAGAAATAAGGTATTTTTACCGTCGTTCCTGAGGTAATCGTTGAGGGACTGAAACAATGGAAAGCTGTCCCATGTATCTGGAGGTTGCATTTCTAGTGCTGCATCCATGTCAACTGCGAACAGGGACCAAAATATCTCGGCATGTTCTACCAGCAGGTCGCTAAACCATGCAAATGCCTAAAAGAGATAATACATGTAACATAAACATGATCAGAAATTCACTTTATGTCTAGCTCTCCAACATTCATTCCTGAAACATAAATTGTTTGATTTAAATCATACAAAAGATATACAAAATATTCAGCATTTTAATTTTCGTGAATCAGAAATTAACTCAATTATTTTCAAAAATCAATCAGAGAAATATCATGATCACAGGAATATGTGAAATACATACAACAAATTACCATAAATTTTAGCCCATGTTACAAATTAAATAATTAATATACATTTTTTTCATGAAGGGATACATAAAGTTAGAAAACTTCACTTTTAAAAATATCTAAAAAAAGGGGAAAAAAAAGACTTTAAGCTTTTAGCACCCAGTACTAGTCAGAAGTTCTGAGAAACCAACCAAGAACAACCACCAAATAAAATGGAATCTTCGTAAAAAAATATTCAATAAAAAAAATCATAGTCTTCACTTAAGATTACTTGAAAATATATGCATCTGTAAGACACAAAAGCCCCTACTTCCTGTAAATTTGAACTTAAACTTCCCCTATTACTTGTAACTGTTACCTTTGAACTCCCTAACACACAAACTTATCAAATTATTGTTGTTGCCAATCTTTGTATAAAATTTACCTAAGTTCATATGTTGCTTGAGTGATGACAGTAATTCAGGATGGGAAGATCACAGATAATGCTATATGTCTATAATAGTGTTTTAATTTGAGATCCATTCACACCAAATTTGGTTTAGACAATGTGTGATCAATTGTAAGAATCATGTTATGACATTTCAGTAGGTTAACCTGTAGAACACTGATGACTGAAACTACACAAAAACTAGTAATCATAAAGCCTTTTAATTTTCACAGATTCTCCAGATAAAAAAAATGAATAAAATAAGAAGATAAAAGCACTGCTTAAAACCATTAAAAGTATTAATTTCATCTCAAATATTCCTTTATTTTCAAAGGACTTTTGTATCAATATAAACAATGCCTCAACACCTGTTCACACTTATGACATTTGTACTTAATATGGTCTGCAACTTTTGAAATTAGAAATAAAATATTGTTTAATCAAAAATGCGAATGTTGGTCAGCTAGATATATATGCTCAGCTACTGGCCTACAATTGAAAGAAACTGCACAGTCAAATTGCAAAGAACACACAGGGTAGCAAACACATCATACCAAATGCAAATTTTGTAAAAATAAATATTAAGTATTTTCATATATCTAAAAAAAATTGAATATACTTAAGGAAAAATAAACAGTGGATGAAAAGAACAGAAGGTTTTCATAAATTGTACAAATGATAATAGCAAATATCGTTCCTTAAACAGAGTTCCCATCATTTACGGTGATTTTGTCCTAACACTAATTTTGGTTTGTGATTGCAATCACAGATCCTTCAATAACAGTATTTGTCACACAACAAAACCAGATCATCAATTGACCAGCCTTGCAGAAATTTATCATATCCCTTCTCTTGATTTGATTGGACAAAATTTAATAAGCTCCTGTCTATCCACTTATGATATTAATGCAAACCTTGCCACAATTTAACAAGCCCTTTCCTGTTTCACTTTTCACAAGCCCTATACAAATCCAGTCACAATTTAACAAGCCTTTTTCTGTTTCCCTTATCACAAGCCCTATATAAGCCTTTTACAATTTCACAAACCCCTTCCTGTTTTACTTATCACAAGCCCTATACAAACCCTGTCACAATTTAACAAGCCTTTTTCTGTTTCCCTTATCACAAGCCCTATATAAGCCTGTCACAATTTCACAAGCCCTACCTGTTTCACTTACCGGTATCACAAAATCTAGCTGCACAACTTGCTCTACCACAATTTCAAAAGCCTCTTCCTTAAATTACTTTTCTATTCCGCCCCCAATATCACAAAAGTATTGGCTGAACCATGATAATAAGCGCCCTATCCTTACACCAAAGTACCTTGCTAATTTAGGATTACACCAAAGTACCTTGCTAATTTAGGATATCACAAACCAATTGACTGAACCATGATAATAAGCGCCCTATCCTTGCACCAAAGTACCTTGCTAATTTAGGATATCACAAACCAATTGGCTGAACCATGATAATAAGCACCCTATCCTTACACCAAAGTACCTTGCTAATTTAGAGCAGTTATTGGAGTTATGAAAGGTCAATCAGAAGTAGTCAAACAAAACCAAAATTTATCAACCAACATCTTTAACAATATATACAAAAACGATCAAAATTATACAGAGATCAAGGTAGATTAAATAACAATACATTACGATTTGACCAAGTCAGATAGATTAACAGTGAAAAATTCAGATTCCCAATAGGAAGAGACCAAGACAGATAAACTAACAATGCAAATTTCAGAATTCCATGGAAGCTATGAAAATGATGATGAAAATTTCAAAATAGCAAAATTCCAATGAACAGATAAACTACATAAGTGCCAATTAAGAAACAAGGTTTTCTATCAACTATCCTTAGCTGTGAACCAAAAGGCATGCACTGCAACCCTGTTGGTGACGGTCACACATGCATGCAATATTCCTATTTTAATTGAATGTTTGTAAGTCTTCAAAACTTCTAAAAGAGAAACTCTATTTTGGTGCCAAATATTTACCATAATAATTAAGACTGTATAAAAGGATACTATAGTATTATACAATAGTGTCTCAATGAGAAATAAAAGCTCAATCTGATAACAGGATTAATGAAAATAGCTGAAAGGAAAATTTGCACAGTGCCAAATTAATGGTAGTGGTGACTATGCCAATCAGTAGTTTACGATCTAGTAACAAGTAAAAGGATTTAAGTGTGCTTAAAAGTGTCATTTTAAATAAACTTTGGATGGAACATCAACAGAAAACATAAGGAGAGCAAATAAACACAGCAAAGACACTGTCTGGTCACCTGTGCAAGTGTGCAGCACCTCCTACTGGCTAGATTTCTGTGTATTTCTGTGTATTTGTGGTATGAATTCAATTGCGATGAGCTCCGAGATGTTCTTTAGTAGTCTAGTAGTTAGATATATTTGTGGTCAGTTGTAATGATTTCGGCAAAGTACAATTTTGTTATATATTCTTGTGGTATTTGTGGTGAGTCAACATGCAGTATTTTACAAAGCACAAAGCTACTTGTGTTTTTTGATATTTGTGATATAGTGACAGTGTGGTGAGTCAACATGCAGTATCTTACAAAGCATTCTTGTGTTTTTATATAGTTGTGGTATTGTGATATTTGTGGTGAGTCAAGGTGCAGTATTTTAAAAGCATACTTGTGTTTTGAATATTTTGGTTTTTGTGATACACTGATAAACTCAGGTATGATAAAATTGATTGTAAACTTAACTTGTCAAAGTTAAAAAAAAATTTCCAACCATGTACAAGGAAGATACCAACATCAGAACTCTCTAAGTATTCAACAGACTAACTTTCACTGAATATAGTGGTGGAATTAGGTATAGGAAATTTTGCAGATTTTGTCTCAACAGCAAATACATGTTATACAACTCCACCTCTGGACAAACTTTAGAAGTAACTCAGGGCAGTATGTAGAGTGTATACTCTTTTTTCAGAATGGAACAATCTGATACAAGTTTGTCAGTCATACCAAATGGACCATATTAGAGAAATATGCTGCAAACAACATGAAGAACAGCTAAAAAGGGGCCATAACTCTGTTTATAATGAGCAAACTGCCTGTATATAGCATTTGTACCTGTAGTAAACATTTGTACATAAGAAGTGGCCCATCAACCTGTAGTGCTCACCTGTTTCTGCAGCTTCCGAGAAGACTTTGCTGTTAGTTTTTACTTATGAACTTTCATCCATATTCCAAACTTATCATCCCTTCTTTTCAGTATTGCACAATTATTAAAAATTACAACCCTTGACGAGATGCTAATTCACAACTTTTTGTTATGATTTAAACACACCTTACTTCAACCTCACAACAACATCAATTTTATACATCAGTATAAACTTGATGGCACTTAAATCCAACATACTACTGGGTCCATATCATGACACTGGTCTTTTTGGTTATTAAGATGTTGTCTCAGGATTTTAACTCATTTGGCTTATGACTAATGAATTAGATCAAAGTAATTTGTCCATAGCCCTTCAGACAACATGTTATTGGCCCATTATAATGATTCTGGAACTCTCAAATCTTGTAAAAAGATTTCCAATTCATTTGATCTCAGTGACCTTGAAAACAAGTCAAGGTCATTCACTCAAGCATTACTACTGGCCCATTAAAAAGACTCCATGCCATCAGGTAATTCAGAAGAAGTCATTTGAAGATTTTAACTTATATGACCAAATGAACTCAAAAATGGGTTAACTTATTTGAACAAATTTGACAGCATTTCCTCCTATCACTGGTTACTGAGAAGAAAAAGAAAAAGTGCTTGAGTGGACTGATAATGATCGATACACTATGGCACAAACCAATAAATTTTTTCATCATCCAAAGCATATCAGCAAAGCCTTCATGTTTTTGTCTGACATATTGAAAAATATCCGTTTTCAAAAAATCACAATAAGGAACAATCTCTTTTCAACGTAGATAAAACAACATTTAAATTAAAAGTACTTATTCTAAAGCTTTATCTTTAAGAGATGATTGACTGTCAAGATTAAATAAAAAAGAGTTATTTTCTTTACTTTCTGTGCATTCTTTTAGGGTTATTTTGTTAAAAGTCTTGAAATTGTATAACATTCTAATGAGAAGGGAGGTAATACAAAAAAAACATATCTTAATGAAAAAAATTACACTTAAAATTCAGAATAGCGAAGGGAGACAATTCAATCAACCAAAACTTCCTGATAGAATAATTAAAAAATACTTGTATTAAAATTTCCAAACATCTAACAACTTTGAAGTGACTGGTGTGCATCGTAACATCTTAAATATCAGTTTAAAAAAAAAAAAAAAAAAACAGATAAAAATGCACAGGTGTTACCAATAGATCTAGGAAGCCGGCGAGAGAAAACAGGATCTAAACCATACAGAGACACACATTGTGATCTTTATGAAAATAAATAAAATAAATCATTTTCTGATTTATTAAGAAAAGAAATATTGATTGTATGTAGTATTTGAAGTGCAGAGTAAAAAATGTGTAATACACACTCAGGAAGTATGGGTATATAACTCACCGCGACAAACTGCTACCAGCAAAGAGGGTAAAAAGCACAAAATATGGTTAATTCATGCATGATCTGACATGAAACATATATGATATTGACGTGGAAACACACTTACGCTCTGTCCGACAAGAGGGGATACAAATGTATATAAAAATCTCTCACACATATGACAAACTTGACTGAACAGTAAGCTGGCATGGTTACAACACAAACTTGATCAACCCTTCAAACTGTGATATTAATGAAAACGCATTTGAAAATTTATTATGATTTTCAAATTGTACCTAAAAAAAATCTGCAACTTCTACTTCAATAGAATCTTAAAAAAAACCTTAAAAGAAATACAGCATGAGAGAAGAGTATATGGTTTTTTCCAATGTATTACATGCAAGCGGCAGACAATTTTATACAGATACCAGTAAGCCAACCATTGAACTGCCTTAAAACAAATACTTTTGTTTATTTCTCACAAAAGTGTGTTTTTGAGACATATGCATGCTAATTAAAAAAAAGATAAACATGGGAAAATACCATACAAGAGTATAAGTCTACCTTAACTTGGCTTTATCAAATATTACGAGTGCTGACCTTAACACAATATGAAGGGTTGACCTACATGTAATGACACCGTAGGAACACTGAAATCCCACACCTTTAATTTCATCCTTTAAATCTTTATTTAATCTTATTATTGAAATCTGTGGTAAAGGATTTCTCATTAATTAAGACTATATTTGGAATCCATTTAATATCTCAATTTCTATATAAAAATTAAAAAATCAACTCCTCAATATGTCAATTAGATTTAAATCAGTGATCATAAAAAGTAAAATTGAAGTCAATAACATTTATACATCAGCACTTTTCCTCCACCCTTATCACCCACCACCAGTACAGTCAATGGTTCAAGTACACCAGTGCTGGAAATTCAGAATCATTAACATTTTCAAATTACAGTTAAACATTCTTGTTAACATTATAAACATTTGTGCAACAGACAGTAATTTCTTCAAAAATGTCCTGAAAAAGATTAGCATTAGTATAATTTTTGAGAATTTTAATAAAAACTGATGCAACTAACTGAAACAGCTGTAATAGACAAGATTCAGTAGAGTCCTAAGTGAGGATCACAGCCGATGAGGCAAGATGTCTTTAATTAGCCTATAGTGGAAATAACTGCAGGTCAGAAACAATGACTTCAGCTCATAGTGTTAGTCACTACAGGCAAGGAACAATGACTTCAGCCCATAGTGGAAATAACTGCAGACGAGAAACACAGACTTTAGCCCAAAGTGGGAATCACTACAGGCAAGGAACAATGACTTCAGCCCATAGTGGAAATACCTGCAGACGAGAAACACAGACTTTAGCCCAAAGTGGGAATCACTAAAGGCAAGGAACAATGTTTTTAGCCCATAGAGGTAGTCCCTGCAGGTGAGGAACAATGACTTCAGCCAATAACAGAAATAACTACAGGCAAGGTTCAAATACTTAAGCCTAAAGAGTTAGTCACTGCAGGTGAGGAACAATGTCTTTCACCAATAGTGTTAGTCATTACAGGCCAGGAATGATGATTTTAGCTCAGAGTTAGTCACTGCAGGTGAAGAACAATGACTAAAGCCGATGATGGAAATTACTACAAGCAAGGACAATGACTTTAGCCCATAGTGGGAATCACTAAAACTATCTTTCATGTTTGTTTTGGTTCTGAAAAGTAACGAAATCTGAAAATGTACACTGACAAGTTGAGCTGGACATGCAGTTAAATGTTAGTTCTGAAGTGTTTCAACACTTCTTTGATCTGCCACTCCAGGTGTGGGTGACTTCTCCTGAATGTTTCAGGTGTTGATAAGTTACCTATGGATGTGTTAATGTTTTACCTACAGCAGACAACAGTTACCTTGTTTTCGCCTACATGACTCCACCTACTGGTAGGTTTCGTCTCACTGACGATAGTCAAAGTTCTGTTGGGTGTTAGAACAGAAGGCTGACAATGGAGTGGTTTGCATTTATGTGATAATCTGTCTTGTCAACAGCTTTGTCAAGCAAAAGGCCAATGACCTGGGAAAACATCTGTGTGTATATAATCAGAAACATTGAGAAGATACACAGGTTTGAATATTTATCCATTGCTGTCAAGTAGCAGGTTTAAAATCTGAAGCACTTGAAGCACTTAGTTTTCAATCATCCTATGAGACATAGGTATCTTGGGTATAAGGTGCAAGGCATCAACTCTATTGTAAGTCCCAACCCTCTGATGTACAAATATTGAATATTTCATTAGAAGACTACTGAAGTACATGGGAACAGAGGATCACATGACCGGCCTCACCTCAGCATGATGCTCCTCGTTCTGCTGAAGGACTTCAATACAGAGCTCAGCCAGGTGTAATACATCATCTAGCCTTTTTTTGGGTGTCACCTCGTCACTGTACGATTCTGTAAAAACACGAGACCTCTATTCACTCATATCTAAAATTCAACTTCTGACAAGAATCAATTGATTTTCTTTTTAAACTCTTGTTAATATTTTTGCTATGTTAAATAAATATGTGTGGCTAAGATACTACTGATTTCTTCCTATGACAAGGCAAAACAAAATTTCACTTATCTTTTACAGTGATCTTCATGTGAAGTAAGCTTGTTAAGTATTTTTTAATCATCAATTTATATTCCAGAAGATATGGATTCACATTAATCAGTATAAAGTCATGCTCATACAAATTTTCTGATGCATCCACATTGCTGCAACTAACAATACCTTCAAAAGAAATAACCAGCTTTTAAATACCTCACTCTATAATTCCTAGTATCTATGTGAATAGAAATCCAGTTACCTTCCATATCTATCTGTCTTATTGAATTAGAGACCAAGTTATCTCCCATATATACATGTCTAATGATATAGAGATAGAGTTGTCTCCCATATATACCTCTAATCAATTATAGTTATCTACCATTTCTATGTGTCTATATAAATACAGATTGGGTTATCTCCCATATCTATATCTTTAAGTGAATAGAAAAAAGAATAATCTCCCGTTACTATATATACATAAAGAGTTATCTCCCATATCTAAATGTCTTTTCCAATATAGACTGGATTTACCTGCCTATTTACAATTTTTCTCTGCTAGACTGCACTCATTGAAACCAAGACAGGCCAGAAGTGTTTTGGTCAAAGTTTTGACCAAAATGATCCTGATGGGTCAGTACAATTTGATTACATTGTAGTGATTGTCAAATAGACATTTTAATTTTTCAGCAAAAATCCCAAAAATCGCCATCTTGGATAGAAATATCTCATGTTAAACATAGATACTAGCCCATCAAAATGACAGGATTGATAACCCTGTCTGGGAGTTATAATTTTCAAAGTAAAGTCAAGAACATTTTTTAGAAAAACCATGGCAGGCAATCCAGTCTAGATTTGATATAGATAGTTGTCTTCCATGTATATTTTGGTTGTCTAAGTAAAAGAGATAGAGTTATCTCCCATATATAATGCCTCATTAAATACAAATAGTTATTTCCCATATCTAGATGTCTTACTAAATACAGATAGAGTTATTTCTCATGTATATATAGCTAATAAGATATAGACAGAGAGTTTTATCTACGTAAATAGAGATACAGTTATTTCCCATTTCTATATATCTAAGTAAAAAGAGATAAATAGTTATCCCTCATATCTATCACCAGGCAGACTCCATACCAACTAAGTCATTAAGATTCTGTTAACATTCAGAGCCTTAATCAACAGTGGCCAATCACAGTGTACCTCTGTCTCTGTAGATACTCTACCAAAATCTATATTGATCTATTGGAGAATGTGGATAGAAAAATGGAACCAAATACATCAAATGGAAAAAGGGATGTTATAGTTAAAATGACACATCAGCTGGAACTGGGGCAGGGGGTCTAATAAAAAGTGACTAATGCATAAATAAATAACACTGTTTAAAATAAAACCAATAATAAAATCAGTAAAACCACGCAGAAAAATAAAACACCAAAATATCAAAGCTCTACAGGCTATAATATCAAAGCATCACTTATTCAACTATATAAAAAGTAAACCAATGGTTTATCTCATAAAGGTATGTTGCACTGATATTCAAAAAGCTTGCCTTCCTGAAGTGGGGAAACTAAATGCCTTCTATTACAAAATTTCATTTGCAAAAGTGATTTCTTAAAAGCTAAATTTGAGTACTTGAAAATATGCCATATACCATCCAAAGAGTGATCATTAAAAAAGAAGCAGGTTTTTAGATTGTGTCTCATTTTTTTTCCAGCTATAAACACTAATCCACATATACAGTCTGAGGTTTTTTTTCTTGTGGAAGTATTAAGTTCGAAGACTTTGTAAAAAGACTGAAAATCATTTTATTCTCTGAAGCATATATATACCTTTCCATTTCAGAAAATAAAATTCTGATTATTTCAGAGAAAATATTGGGGATACTTTTTAAAACAATTACATCAATTAACTGTATAGATTTACATAAGTTAAATGACTGATCAGACCCATCATTTTGCAGGTATGTCTACAAAATTGCAAACCTTAATTTTCTCACAGTATCAACAACACAGTGAAAAGAAATAAAAAAAAATCTAAGAAATCTGACAAATGTCATACTTACCTGATCCTAAAGAGGAAGATATATAAGTAAGTATATTGAGTTAATGAGTTCAGGAAAAAAGGTCACTTAAATTGTCAAATTATGTGGATAATTCATTAACGTAGCATACCATCTGAGGTTTTCCCAGCTGTAACACCTGTTGTACTGTGAATTTTACAAATACAAACTGTGCAAAAACTGATAGAAACATCTTAGAATAGCAAATGTGATTTCCCTGAGATTTGTCTGCTGTGAAACCAATGAGAAGAGGATTTACGTCAGTAGATTTCTTATGTACTCTTCTTCCACCAGTTCACATGTCCATCAATCAATACACCGATAGAATTTAACAATCTTAGTATCAGTAGATTTTCTCATGAATTTTCATTCAGGAAAGTGCCAACAATGTATCTCATAGTTATCTTTGTTTCTGCTTTAAAAGCCACCAGATCTGAACATTTAACACAAATTCTTATGTTTATTTTTCAAAAGTGCTTCAGTAAAATAAAATCATGTTCTGTACAGAAAAGTGCTTCAGTAAAATAAAGTCATGTTCTGTACAGAAAAGTGCTTCAGTAAAATAAAGTCATGTTCTGTACAGAAAAGTGCTTCAGTCAAATAAAGTCAAGTTCTGTACAGAAAAGTGCTTCAGTAAGAGCAATGTGTGAGTGTGTGTGATTTTTGTATACAAATGTATAGTGAAACATTACTACTCTAAGACCTGTATACTGATTGACTATTTTGAACTTCACAAAACTATGGTATCGTAAAACAACTAAATTGTGTCATCAAATAAATTTTTCTAAGTGCAATATAAATGATAAATAAAATATTGTGTAGCCTGTGTCTTCATTTCAGCTGTTAGTGACAAGAGTATGAAGCTATATAATGTCTTCTGTTTCAAAAGATATCTTAGAAATTTCATCACCCCTGGTTTAAAAACAGTTGTCAATGACATGATACAATTTCTGAATAATCATTTCTATGAAATAAAGTTTCCAGAAACAAATGAACAAGCTCAGAGATAAATTACATCATATGTAATAGAAGTGGATGAATCTGATAAATGAGACAGTCCATTTTTGGTCTGTTTATTATATATGGGATATCTGGAAGCTGCAGTCTGAAGCCTTCAGTAAGGAAGGGAAACTGACTCGGCCAACACCAGGACTAAACCTATGAGGTACTAGTTTGGATAAAACACTTTAATGATCCAAACCATTCCTGAACTTAAATATGATTCACAACTTTATTGTTATTGTTACAGCTAACAGAGATTTTTTTTCTAAAACTGCAAAATAAAACATTATTTCTTTTCAAGTTTTGCATCTCTTGTTAAGAATAAAGGATGTGCTTTCTAAATTACTGTATTTTCCAGGTTATAAACTGCACCAGTAATAAAGCACAGAGACAATTTTTAACAATTTTTTCTATTTGATCCACATATTAGCCATACTAGAATATAAGTCACACCCTTTCTTATGATGAGGTAACCTTTATGTTGACCAAAGTTTGTTGATATAACAGACAACAGATGTAAGTTTGTAAATGAGTTATACACTGATAATCCTTTATTTGATTGATGTGCATAAATAGCAATTATCAAACTTGTTTGGCTTGGGTGCCTTCACAGATTATCTACGCACAGATATAGGGCCTGACGTTATGTATGTTTATTTATCAATTTCTTCATCATGGTATTGTTAAATATTAGTGAAGGCCCTTGCATGCTGACATGAAGTTACACAGTGCTATTCCTATTGTAAACAAGCATGGCGGTCATTCTAGAATTTGACCTATAACCTGATGACCTATCGACCCAAGGATGCAACAGGCTATTGTAAACTTCCCCTATGGCTTCCAACTTAATTAGAATCCAAAGCAACCACTAAAGTTCTGATGATATCATTGTGATTCATATTAAAAGGTATGATTAATTATATCGATGAGAATGTTGTTTCTATTTCAATCTTAAGATTATCCTGTATACGATTGCAAATGACAGTTCTAGACGATCTGTTTCAGTCACAAACACGTGACGGATAGGTACTCGTGAAAAACTGGTCTGCTTCATTTCTTTTTTCTTTCTGCCTATCTATTTTTGTCCACATTTAAACTGCGCTGGTATATAAGCTGCACGCCTGATCGTAAAGGAAAAATGTCAGAGCTTGAAATCCATAAAATATGGTAATTAGGTCTGGGGCCCAGTAAATCTTGATATACCATTAAAACAAAATATTTTTATTTGACTTTGATCTCATCATAGTATCTACTTGCAATGATTACCCTGTCTACAGCTATACACTACTGGACATCTGTACAAAAGAAACAAAACCATAGTGCTCTCTATAGATTTACAATAGTGACAGAGAATCACTACATGCAGAAAAATCAAGTGCTAGTGAAAATCTATTGTAAACAAAAAACATTTAATCTTGGAAATTGCTACTGTCGGAAATGTGCTATCACCTTTTCTTCCTGAATAAGCATTAATTTAATGAGCAAAAAAACATGTTTTTAATAGATTCTACAAAAATAAATAGCAATAATATTGTCAATATAGATATATTTTTTAACATACTCTACTGCCAAATAAATATATAATAACATCTTTAATACAGCTCTCAATATAAAACTGGAAATAATTTTAAGATCAGAATTTCAATTTAATGAAATACAACTAAAAAATTAAAGCATCATTTTTTTTCTACATCATTTCAACTTAGTTGCAAAACATATTTACACTGCAGTCATTACAAATTTAAAATACAATATTTTCTCTCAAAAAGCAGTTAAGCAGGCATTGCTAAATTCTCTAATGTTTTATCATGAAGTCCATGTGTTAGTGCAAGGTTTAGACCTGTCCCACACATTATATAATACACAAGCCAGACAATTCCGAATATGAGGTTATATCATTAGAAACAGGGTTCTTTCTCTGTTTTGAATACCAACCTTCGATCTTTGCATATTCCGAAATTCTCGTGTAGTTTACCAGAGCAGCATTTTCGAGACAAAGCTTGATGACATTCCGTACTTCTTCTGGTGGAACGGGTGTCACAATGTCCTTCATCAAAACCTACACAGGGACAAAAAATGGCTACAGACCAATTTATGGAAAATCAACAAGTCTAATGTTGTTACTCAAAGTATCGTTTTGATGACATGAACCAAGTTTTTTTTTTTGCAACAAGATTGGTAGACATACTACAATAGGAATTAAAAAAAAAAAATATCCAATTTGAAGCAAAAAATACAGCATGGCTCCTAATAGGGCATAAAACAATAACAATACCAACTGAAAATTCTGAATTCTGTTTCTATTTTCAGAAATTCTAGAAATATTTCTGGTCCTATTTCTATTTCCAGAAATTCTAGAAATATTTCTGGTACTATTTCTATTTTCAGAAATTCTAGAAATATTTCTGGTCCTATTTCTATTTCCAGAAATTCTAGAAATATTTCTGGTACTATTTCTATTTTCAGAAATTCTAGAAATATTTCTGGTACTAAATGGTGACTCCTGTCAGTTAAGATAAGTGTTTTTTGTTTGCTATTTGTCAGCTGATCTATCACTGCACTTTAAATTGCTACTTCAAATCCTGGTTTAGCATATCTATCAATAGTAATAAATTACCCTCTCTAAAAGTGACAGAGTTGCCTTCAGTGCCCCTTCTGGTCTTCCAAATGGAAAGCAGTACCTACAATGGAAAATTTTTCTATATATAAATATAGCTTAAACATGTTAGCTTCAAGAAGTGATTTATAGAAATTCTTTACACCAAAATCAATTTACAAAGCCTGTATGAATAAGATGCAGACACTCCTCAAGGTGTACAAACTTGACCTCAACCTGAGTAATTCATTTGTCTAAACATTGATCTATTGACTAAATTCTCTATCTCCTCTTCATTGAAACAATTCTAAACAAGCCACTGAGTTACCAGTTCTCTAGTACCTTTTCATTAGAATATATCTAAACACAAAACCCGAGTTATCAAGCTTCCTATTAATTCTAACATGAAATGTTAACATTTCAACATTGAGTAAAATTTAATATCCATTCTAAAAGGAAACTGTTTCCAAAGTATCCATGACTAATCATTCTTTTCTGTACTATAGTGCAAACAAAACTTTAAGGAATCCTGTCAATATGGTTTTTTGTAAGAATCTTGTAATTAAAGAAATGAAAGACCAAAAACAGGTAAAACACTCTAAACTATGGTAGAGTTTGACTTGTTGACACTCTTAACTTTGACAGAGCTTGACTTGTCAACACTCTTAACTATGGTAGAGCTTGACTTGTCAACACTCTTAACTACGGTAGAGCTTGACTTGTCAACACTCTTAACTGCGATAGAGCTTGACTTGTCAACACTCTTAACTTCGATAGAGCTTGACTTGTCAACACCCTTAACTATGTTAGAGCTTGACTCGTTGGGACTTACCTGAAGTGAGTGATCTGATTTTCCAGTAAAATCCTTAGCCTCTCTTTGATCTCATCAAATTTTGACTTTTCTCTTAACAGGACGGTGCCTATTCCATCAGGTCTGAAAGTATAAATGCCACCATATGTATAGGGGTTGACATGTTGTCTGTGTTAGTGAAGGTTTTATGTATGTAAAGCTAGTGGTGTTTCAGTTGTTTTCAAGGTTTTCTATCATGTATTAATCTGACAACATTATTATCATACTATTGTTGAATATGCTCCTGTCACTTTTGTATATGAATGTGAAATGTGGTTAATTAAAACATCAAAGATATCCCAGATGGATTTTGGTGCCCACCATTGTTTGATCTTTATATGCTCTTTGAAAGTTGGATCTTTTCTCTTCTTTTCTTTCCTCTGTTTTGGCTTTTAATGATACATAATTTGAACATTTCTCTAAAGAAATACCTAGGTAACAATAATAATCCTCAAATGCCAAATACAAGATGGTTACCTGTCAGCCATTTTGCTTTTGTGATCAGTCCCAAAATCAGACATGCACAACTAGGGACCAAGGGGAACCTGCATATGTTATTTTAAGGAGATCCATACTGTCCTTTTTCACAAAAAAAGGATGGTCACCTCTCAGTCATATTTTGTTATTTATTTTCTTTCTCTCTGATAAGTCCCAAAATCAAACGGGCACAATGAGGGACACAGATGATCTCATGAGAAAGATTTATCTAGTACTTCTCATGAAATAACGTTAACAAACATTCATTGTTGAATCCGAGATGGCTACCTCATAGCTTTATTTTTTAGAATTTTTTATTTGTTTATATTTTATCTCTCTGATAAGAAGTAGCAATAATTCTTCCCAGTCTGACCACAGACGACGGACCATGGACATAAAACAATTTGATAAAGCAGTGTGACCCTTCCATCCATGAAGACCATTTGATTCTACCATATCTGGGTACCGAGAAGATTTTTGAATTTTTGAGTGAATTTGACCCCCTATTGGCCCATCAGTCCCTTGGGTAGCAGTACACAGTTTCTCGGTGTGGCCATGGGTGATTTTTTTGCTCATTAGATTACCCCATTATAAAGGTTTTAATTAAAAATGGAAAAAAAAAATCCTTGCTAAAATTGGTCCTGTCATGTTAAAGTGGACAATGTGGGGTTTCATTTTTTTCAGGATAATATTTTAGCTTTGTGTTGGAGATTACTAATTGGGCAGTCTCGAATCTGTGTCTACGCACCAAAAACTAGCTTTACAGGAAGTGAAATTTTCATAGTGTTTTCATGTGGTCATGTTATGAAGAATTTCTGAGTTGGAATTTGCTGAAATGTAAGTACTTTGTTACCAAGACAGTGTTGTTGATTGTAAGATAGGTGTTTAGAATTAAATTTCTTCTATAAAGTTGTAGTGTTAGGTTGAAATTAGCAGTATTTTTGCATTTTTAGCATTTTTTCAGTAGGTAACCATGACAATCAAATGTCAGAAATCAGAGGAAATTTTTTTTATTACACAAATTTCATCTCTCTACTGTTAATGCAATTGTTATGTAGTTTATAAATATATATACATGTATTGATGTATTTTTCATAACCAATCTGCTATACGTGTATATCTCAAACATGACAAATTATTTCAGGAAAAATGCAAATTAACTGTTTACTGCTACCTTGGGGTCAGCCAGTATCAATATCTGCATACCGTCATGCTGTCATCCTTTGCTAGTAATTCTAACTAAGTTTGAAATATTTCCAATGGAAATTAAACAAATTATGCTCAATATCGTATTTTTCCTATATAAACTATAGAAAACTTCTATGGAGTCATGAAATTCATAATCTTAATAAAGCACCTTAAGAAGAATATTTTTGAAATTTGAATCAATTTGTCTCCTACTCCTTAACACCACCTCTCAGGCCCTTGAGTGGTGGGGACCATATAAATTAATATTTTGATTCATCTTTGGCCAGGGTGGGTTTCTGAAAATTTTTTTCTGAAATTGGTTCTGAGATTTTAAGAAAAAGTTGACAATGTCAAAACTTTAAGGATAAAGGAAATTACAATAGGTCACCATGAGACTTAGTTTCAGGTGACTGAGAAAGGAAGGAAGGAGATAGGATCTACTTACTTTTTTTTGACGGATGTATGAGGTGCAAATTTATCATCTTTCTTAGACATGCAAAGCACATACTAACCTATTTCCATGGACATGCGAGGCACAGAATGCAAAGCTGTAGTGTATGAGGGTAGGGTCGATCATCACACCCTGCTCTGCCCGCTCCAACAGGTCACTCAGGTAACACAGGTGGCGATGACAGCCACGGACACCATATCTGGCACAGTACTCATCTAGTACAAACACCTGACCAGGACTGAACCAGCCCTATAAGATAAAGGTCAAATCCTTATGAGTAAGGGGGTCATCAATTTTTTATTTTAATATTTATTCAAAACCTTCAGCAACCAGAATAAAAAATTCACATGAAGTATTCTTTAAATAGGAATATATCTGAAAGAAAGGTTTATCCGACAGGGACGTTGAGAGAGGGCAAGAGGGATAAGGAAAGTAAGCAAGTTACATATGTTATAGGTCTTTATTCTAGTAATTTCTTGTCTAATTCAACTACAGAAGCTATTGTAATTATATAGCCATTGGCCCATATCTCTTAATAAGTACATCCATTTCCTGTACAGTTCTGCAGAAATACTACTCTATACAGGAAACCATTGTGGTTTAACTTTGCCCATTTTCACTATTTTGTCAATAAAATAAATATAAAATGATAGTAAATGTTTTAAGTTAAAGCTTAAATATACAGTCAAACCTCGTCACCTTGAAATAGTACAGCCTAAATACCCCCTTTAAGTATTTTAGTAGTCTTGGCCAAATTTCAAATCAAGCATTCAACGTCACTTGAATAGAGTAATTGGATAACTCAAAGTTTTCCTACAGTCCTGTAGACTTTGAGCTAATGAAGTTCAACTGCCTGTTATTATGCTTTGAGGGGGAATGAAACACTGGACAAAGACAAATTTTTTTTTAATGAGGGATGAAAACAACCCTGGAGAAATGTTTCTCTCAAATGTAGTATTATACTGTCAGGTCATAAGCAAAACTGTTCTTTGATTCAGAGTGTATGTATGGGCTTATTACAATATAAAGTAACTGTTCTTTGATTCAGAGTGTATGTATGGGCTTATTACAATATAAAGTAACTGTTCTTTGATTCAGAGTGTATGTTTGGGCTTCTTACAATATAAAGTAGATCAAGCCATTGTAAATATCTTCATGACAAAGTATTTCATTGTTTCAGGGTTAGGTGACAGTGACGAGTGTCAACAGAGGAAGATAAAACATGAGATTTACCAGACAGGTGTAGGCATCATTGAGTCTGTAGTCTAGTGTCAGAACCTGCAGTGTTGTGAACAACTCATGGTGGTCAAAGATACAAGGGTTTGCCTGAACAAACTCATCCAGGCCATGCTTTCTGGCACGATCAGCATCTGTAAGGTCAAAGATACAAGAGTTAGCCAAAACAAACTTGTCAAGGTCATGTATCTGGTACAATTAGCATCTGCAATGGTAAAAAAAAAAAAAACCTAGGGGGTTAGCTTGAACAAACTTGTCCACTCTCCTGTAACAGTCGAAGGTACAAGCCATCTGTTTTTCAGATCAGTCTCAAAATTGAAAATACAAATTTTCAGAAGACTCATTCTGTACATCTAAAGAAGTAATGATATCAATCTTTCACTATCAAAATGTAAGATGGCACAACTAGGGACCACATGGAACCTTTATATGAAATTTGAGAAAGATTTACATAGCACTTCTCAGTAAATAGAGATAACAAAAATTGTTTTAGGATATAGGATTGGCCAAGGGCAAAAGCTGTTAGGAACACACCAGGTAATAGAATCTCATTGATTTAAATCTGATCACCAGAAAATATTTACATATCTGTAACTTTTAGAATAAAAAAAATATCTGCCCACACACTGAAACTCAATGCTTTTTGTGACCAAATTTCTGTAACTTTTTGGCTTCAATGAACTTGTCTTCTATGAAATTTAAAAGGCAATATATGAAGCAATCCTAAGTTCTGAGTATATATGAAAGAATATATCATATGCCAGAATTTTATAACTTTTTTAACAACAAGCTCATGGATTTTATAACTTCCATATACCATAATTTCCGGGATATAAGTCGCACCCCTATATAGGCTGTAGAGCCAATTTTAACTGATTTTTTTCAATTTGATCACCATTTTAGCTGCACCATTCTTACGATGTGGAAATCATTATTTTGACCAAAGTTTTCTGATGTAATAGAAAACAGAAGACAATTTATCAAGATCATTAGTCAAACAATAAAAGTTTGCAATCATTTTAATTATGTACTTTAAACATTATTCTGATCTTCAAAAATACATAAAATACCAAATATTGTACTCATTTGGCTTGGAGCCTTCAAAGATTTTCTATACACAGATGTAGGGCCTGACATTATGTATGGTTTACAATATCTCTATTGGTGTCTGTATTGTTAAATATTAACAAAGGCCGTTGCATGTACACCAAATTCTTGTAGTCCCACAATATCTAGTATTTACACCAGCCTATATATATCTAAAACAGTCATGGTGGTCGTTCTAGAACTTGACCTGTCACCCAATGACCTATAGATCCCAGGGTGCAATAGGCTATTGTAAACTTCCACCATGCCTTCTTGTAACTGCTGATAAGTAACCACAAAAGTCTAGAAGATGTAATTGTGATTTACATCAAAAGGCATGATTCATTAAATCCTTGAGAATATTATTTTTATTGCAATCTTCAAATCATTCTGTATACGATTACAAGTGACTGTTCTACACGATTTGTTTCAGTTACAAACTCATATAAAATGCAGTTCCGTCTCGTACTGGTACTCTAAAATTGTTTTCCACATCCTGCTGATTTACTTTTTCATTCACATATAAACCACACTGGCATAAAAGCTGCCTTACTCAACTCATGAGAAAAAAGTTGCTGCTTATAATCTGGAAAATATGGTAATCATGAAGTAACCTTAGAAAAATAAGCAACCAAATTTCTTCACAAAAGCAAAATAATTGAAAAAGCATTGAAAGATAAATTTAAAGAATTCAAAACCTGATGGAATAATTTTAGATACAGTAATAGATTTACAATCTGAAATCCCCCATTCCCACAGTGTGCAGGATAACTAACCCCCCTGCATACGAGAGATCTGGGTGTTTGAGATCTTGTTCGTCTGTACGACTGGTGGCACAGGTTTGTGCGTCTGTCCAGTGGCCCTGTAAACTGCCTGTACCCACAGTGTCCGTTCATTCTCATCCTCGGCAGCAAATGTCACATTGTCACCCTCCTTGACGGTATTAAAGAAGTATCTTCCACCCTCAACATCTGCCAACAGAAGTTCAGACATAAAGTAAATGGATACTTGGTCACACCCAACAATGGCATCCTGTCTGAAGACTTCAACAAAACATTGCACTACTAACTTGCATATATTTTCTCGTAGGTGAACAGATGACTTACTGAAGACATTTTAGGTATTAATCAGCATGTCATTTTCCTGTACTTTGCCATTTCACATGTCTGACATCTTTTTGTTACTTTGCTAATATGGAGTTGAATTTTTCAAACTAAAAAAAGTTTATTTGCATAGGTATAATTTGAACAGGTTTAATCCTTATTGATATTTTTGAAACTATTGGCAGTTTAACTGTACTGAAAATTGTCTAATGCTATTTCTACACTAATCTGAAATAAATCTGCAAGAGGACTTACTTTCAAAACCAAATCTTTTCAATTTAATTCGATACAATGATAATTACTACCAATAATGAAAACAGTATCTCTCAATATCAACAGCTTTCTAGGATTCATAAGTTCCATTATCTACTGTCAGACTTGGACTTTTACCTTGGAGGGGTTCACAGTAGTCCACAGTAAATCCATCCAGCTGCATCATCTCTGTAGGGTCTGGTTTCTTCTCCCGGTAACTACACATGGCAAATGTATACTGTGACACCTATCAATCAAAATTAAGGTATGACATGTATGCAGCATGTTGTAGCAACACAATGTATCAACCAAGTTGAGATTTATTGAAATAATTAATTTTTTGCAAAACTCATTATTTTTCATTTGAAGTATTTTCAAAAAGCGCAAAAGTTCTATGAGAAATAACAATAACAAATTTCATCTTTAATAATGAAACAGTCAGATTCAGAGTAAACTTTTTACCTGTACAAGAACAAAATATCTTTTCTTCCATTTCTTCCATACAGTCTTTCCCACAGCATAGAGGTATCTAAACAGGTCAACAATAATTTCTATACTCATTAATATCATAAAATAAAAGGTTCAATGGTCCTGTACTGCTCAGGATCATCTGTTGTTATAGTTCTCTTACAAATATATCTTATATGTGGGACTTTCAAATTGAGTTATGACCAACAAGGCCAAATTAACTCCAACACAAAAGGAAAGAAGTTATAAAGGCATAATATTGCTCCTTGTCTCGCATATCCTTACTGAATTATTTATGTGTTATATCTATATGACCAGTAATTCTTTTCCTTCTTTTTTGTAACACAAATTTGACCCATGCGACCTTGAAAGTAGGTCAATGTAGACTACACACTACCAACTTTCAAACAAAACAACATTATTTTCAGTATTTCAGTAATTTCAAATGTTAAGATTAATTTTGCATCCATGATATTGAATGTGGGACAAGGTCATTTATTTGAAAAATCCTTTGAAAGCCCTTCATCCCAGTACAAAAAACTAAATATCCTGACACTCAACCTCTGTTGTCCCTGAGAAGTTCTTTGAAACATTATTGAATTCATTTGATTTGTGACCTTAAAAGTGGTCCATAGTTAACATGCTTCTGAAACAAATATCATGAACCAAGACTGTTGAAAGAAAACCAGATGGCAGATAGAATTTTGGTAAATCAATTTCAACCTTAAAAATTTGCATGTATAGGTTTTCCAACTGAAGCATTTTTCTACCAGTACAATTTAACCGTATGTCTAGCCAACAACTTCTAATCTCATTCTGAAAAGCTACTAGATATCCATAATTCCTTACAAACTGTCTCCATCATTCTAAAACATGTATTGCTTTTGCTCCTTACAGTCTACGGACTGTACTGATAACACCTCTTTTTTTTTTTTTACAATTCCTGACTTACCCACAATGCTTCATGTTTTGTGGTTTGTCCATTCGAACTGCAATTTTGATCTTGAGATCATCAGGGCAGTTCTTGTTTGTCTGCATACGGTACCACTCAGCCATACGTCCACTGTTGGCTGTAGGCCTGATAACAACCTGTGAATCAGAACCAATTATCAGATCATATGTCAGATGGTAATCGTCAAATATTTGAATCTAGGGATATGACAATTGAAACCAAAATGTTGACCTAATGTTTACAGTACAGGTAGATGGATCAGTAAATAATATGTTTTCTTAACACAAAGTAGGATATCACAAGGCATATAATTAATACCTTAGTATGTCAAAAGTTTACCTGTTTAAAAAAATAAACCATGCACGAAATTCGAAGTCTTTGATTGCTTGACAGCAGTACCAATTAAGCTACAGTAGTATTACCCGTAGCTAATGATTGTTATTTCATATTCTTTAACCAAGACTTTGAATATATTTGAAAACTAAAAGTAGACAGTGACACCTAACTTTCATCTTTAATAATGAAAGTTAGACAACTCTTTGTTCACAGGTTAGTACACCTAAAGTGGTAAAATTAACACAAATATTGATTTTCACAGCTGCATGATTATATCACTGAAAACAGTTTCGAGTTAACAGTGACTTGCCAGCATTGCCTATAGATACTTATAACAGGAGTTAAAGTGGTACAATGTATATGCTTCTACACAAGCATGATTTATTTTGAAGTTAAGGGTGCATGCTACCCTAGAAACTTAATACTTATGATTTATATTGAAGTTAAGGGTACATGCTACCCTAGAAACTTAGTAATTGTGATTTGTGTTGAAGTCAAGCAAATATGCTTCCCTTGAAACATAAAACCTGTTATTTGTGTTGAAGTCAAGGGCATTTTCCAACCTAAAACATCACTTCTATTATTTGTACTGAATTGTTGGTATTATCTGTTATGCATTAGTAACACAGTATGGATTTGATAATTCATTTAAGAGCAATGATAATAAATGTTTGAGTAATGGTATATGAATGCAAACTATCTGAGTCAACATCATCCAAAATGGAGACAAAGTATTGAAAACCCTGATAGCAACTAGCAAGACAGGAGCCTGTTTGGGACATTGAAAAATATGTTGATTATAATATGATTATCTTTGGAAACACTTACATGTTTGACTGTTTAGAAATGACAGGTTTCATTCTATTCTCATTTATATTGGATACTGCTACAAAGGATTCACAGCTACTAGTCTACTTTGTATCGGCAAAAGTTGGCGTTGACATATTAGTATGCAGGATGTGGATTGAGACTTATGACTGCAGATTATTATTTTTAAAAATCAGTCTCAGTGGTGCAGTGAAACACGGTTTCTCTTTTGACAATACACATGCCAACATTGCATGCTCCATATGCTTGCAATACAGAGTTGGGACCTCGATTTGTGTCTGCCACCACACATGATGTCACAGCTAGACATGAAAGAAAACCTCACTCAGAGATTGTAATTACCTGGTGTGATCATTAATAGGTAGATAATTACTTGTACCTGTAATTACAAAACCGATCGCTGTTGATTAAGCCTAGTGTGATGAAAAGCGTTTGTGTACATAAGATCTATAAATCTAGGTTAATTGGACAGATGAATGTTCAGAAGATTGTGTCTGATGTCAAAGAAAACCAAGAAATGCACAAATTAGGCAGACTTTTTTTTTTTTCAATTGTATTGAATCTGTAATTAAAAATGACATTTTAATTAAAGCCAAAAATTGAGATGAAAATGAATTTTAAAGAGAATACTTTCAAATTTTGGACTTTTTATATCCTTGGTCTGACATGAAAGCTGAATATTTTGCATCTAATGAGAACTTTGATCTGGAAGAGAGTTTCTGAATTTTTAATTATGTAAGTAGAAACATATTTTCAGCATTGTCAACCCCCAAAACTATCTACACACATTACACATGAGTGCAAATTATTGCGTTGAAATTAAAGGTATATGCCACCATACAAATGTAGTACCTGTGATTTGTGTTGAAGTTAAGGGTTTGTGCTACCTTGAAACCTTTATACAACATTCAATTAATTTTTATTGGAGTATCAAAGATAATTTAAGATATAGAAGAATTTTGATCTTATTTAATTAATCAGAAATATTGATGCATACATATTCAAATATGTTGGGTGTGACAAATTTTGCATATTTATGCACTTTCATGATTTTGCTGAAGTATTACTCTTTTATCCTTAAATACATTATTGTACCTTGCCAAGCTCCTTGTCCTCCAGACTGAGCATGCCTGAGCTTTCTGTGTACAGCTTCACCTTGACGATAGGCAGAGGATGTGTAGTCGTAAAGTCTCCCTGGGTGTCCCAACTAAATGAAAATATAATTGGCCACTTTAAACTTGGTAGTGTACAAATTGATCAATATCTTGTATAAAAAACTCTGGAATAAATGAGTATATTCAATACTGAATACCACAGACTAGTATGATGTGGATTCAAAGGCATATGTACAAAACACAAAGACATCTAATTATTCTGAACACTTGTATACAATGATTTTAAGTCTCAGCTCCTGTGATAACTAAAAAAATAATCAAATTTGTTTTCTTATAAGACAAGAAGCTCAATATGGAGTACGTTAGCTTGGTATGAAGTATACAAGCTAGATATGGAGTTAATTAGCTAGATATGGGGTATTTCAGTTAGATATGGAATTAATTGATAGCTAAGTATGTAGTAAACTGTTAGCCAGACATGGAGTGTGTTATCTTATCTTTTAGTATGTTAACTAGATATGGGGTACATTAGTGAGATACGAGGTATGTCAGTTAGATAAGGGCTATATTAGTTAGATATGGGGTACATTAGTGAGATATGAGGTTTGTCAGTTAGATAAGGGCTATGTTAGCTAGATATGGTGTGGGCAAGCTTGATACGAGGTATTGCAGCTAGATATGGGTAAATTGTTCACTAAATATATAGAATGTTAGCTAGATATGGGTAAATTGTTCACTAAATATATAGAATGTTAGCTAGATATGGGTAAACTGTTCACTAAATATATAGAACTTTAGCTAGATATTGGTAAATTGTTCACAAGATATATAGAACGTTAGCTAGATATTGGTAAATTGTTCACAAGATATATAGAACGTTAGCTAGATATGGGTAAATTGTTCACAAGATATATAGAATGTTAGCGAGATATGGGTAAATTGTTCACAAGATATATAGAAGTTAGCTAGATATGAAGTATATTAGCTAGATTTGGCATATGTTAGCTCAAAATGGAGTAAAATGTTAGTATTATCCCATTATGATCATGAAGACTTGTATCTCGATGAATTGGTTACTACTGATTGTAAAATGACAATTCATTCGCAATCTAATCACTTATATTGCTTTGTTATAAACAGCAAAGTCAAACATGTCTTGGTGACTTTATAACTGAATTAAAAAATCACTGTGGAGAAGCTGGCTCTCACTTTGTTTATGAATCCAATTTTATTTGACCTTGGGTGATCTATCTTTCATTTCATTTCATTTCAAGAATCCAAAACCTATTTCATTTTTACTTTGGTGACATAGCTAACACTAGCTAACACACCAAGCTCTGACCATGGCAACCTCATAAACCTAGGTTTGTAAAGGTCAGCCAGCCAACTTTTGACCTTGTGACCTCTTACCTTGGTTTGGAGACCTCAGCCTGATAAGTGTGCAGTTTCACTCCTCCTTCTAGCTCCATCATACAGTACACTTACCTTGGTTTGGAGACCTCAGCCTGCTAAGTGTGCAGTTTCACTCCTCCTTCTAGCTCCATCATACAGTACACTTACCTTGGTTTGGAGACCTCAGCCTGATCAGTCTGCAGTTTCACTCCTCCTTCTAGCTCCATCATACAGTACACTTACCTTGGTTTGGAGACCTCAGCCTGATCAGTCTGCAGTTTCACTCCTCCTTCTAGCTCCATCATACAGTACACTTACCTTGGCTTGGAGACCTCAGCCTGATCAGTCTGCAGTTTTTCTCCTCCTTCTAGCTCCATCATACAGTACACTTACCTTGGTTTGGAGACCTCAGCCTGATCAGTCTGCAGTTTCACTCCTCCTTCTAGCTTCATCATACAGTACACTTACCTTGGTTTGGAGACCTCAGCCTGATCAGTCTGCAGTTTCACTCCTCCTTCTAGCTCCATCATACAGTACACTTACCTTGGTTTGGAGACCTCAGCCTGATACGTGTGCAGTTTCACTCCTCCTTCTAGCTCCATCATACAGTACACTTACCTTGGCTTGGAGACCTCAGCCTGATACGTGTGCAGTTTCACTCCTCCTTCTAGCTCCATCATACAGTACACTTACCTTGGTTTGGAGACCTCAGCCTGATCAGTCTGCAGTTTCACTCCTCCTTCTAGCTCCATCATACAGTACACTAACCTTGGTTTGGAGACCTCAGCCTGATCAGTCTGCAGTTTTTCTCCTCCTTCTAGCTCCATCATACAGTACACTTACCTTGGTTTGGAGACCTCAGCCTGATACGTGTGCAGTTTCACTCCTCCTTCTAGCTCCATCATACAGTACACTTACCTTGGTTTGGAGACCTCAGCCTGATCAGTCTGCAGTTTTTCTCCTCCTTCTAGCTCCATCATACAGTACACTTACCTTGGTTTGGAGACCTCAGCCTGATACGTGTGCAGTTTCACTCCTCCTTCTAGTTCCATCATACAGTACACTTACCTTGGTTTGGAGACCTCAGCCTGATCAGTCTGCAGTTTTTCTCCTCCTTCTAGCTCCATCATACAGTACACTTACCTTGGTTTGGAGACCTCAGCCTGATCAGTCTGCAGTTTCACTCCTCCTTCTAGCTCCATCATACAGTATACTTACCTTGGTTTGGAGACCTCAGCCTGATCAGTGTGCAGTTTCACTCCTCCTTCCAGCTCCATCATACAGTACACTTACCTTGATTTGGAGACCTCAGCCTGATCAGTCTGCAGTTTCACTCCTCCTTCTAGCTCCATCATACAGTACACTTACCTTGGTTTGGAGACCTCAGCCTGATCAGTCTGCAGTTTTTCTCCTCCTTCTAGCTCCATCATACAGTACACTTACCTTGGTTTGGAGACCTCAGCCTGATACGTGTGCAGTTTCACTCCTCCTTCTAGCTCCATCATACAGTACACTTACCTTGGTTTGGAGACCTCAGCCTGATCAGTCTGCAGTTTTTCTCCTCCTTCTAGCTCCATCATACAGTACACTTACCTTGGTTTGGAGACCTCAGCCTGATACGTGTGCAGTTTCACTCCTCCTTCTAGCTCCATCATACAGTACACTTACCTTGGTTTGGAGACCTCAGCCTGATCAGTCTGCAGTTTTTCTCCTCCTTCTAGCTCCATCATACAGTACACTTACCTTGGTTTGGAGACCTCAGCCTGATACGTGTGCAGTTTCACTCCTCCTTCTAGTTCCATCATACAGTACACTTACCTTGGTTTGGAGACCTCAGCCTGATCAGTCTGCAGTTTTTCTCCTCCTTCTAGCTCCATCATACAGTACACTTACCTTGGTTTGGAGACCTCAGCCTGATCAGTCTGCAGTTTCACTCCTCCTTCTAGCTCCATCATACAGTATACTTACCTTGGTTTGGAGACCTCAGCCTGATCAGTGTGCAGTTTCACTCCTCCTTCCAGCTCCATCATACAGTACACTTACCTTGATTTGGAGACCTCAGCCTGATCAGTCTGCAGTTTCACTCCTCCTTCTAGCTCCATCATACAGTACACTTACCTTGGTTTGGAGACCTCAGCCTGATCAGTCTGCAGTTTTTCTCCTCCTTCTAGCTCCATCATACAGTACACTTACCTTGGTTTGGAGACCTCAGCCTGATACGTGTGCAGTTTCACTCCTCCTTCTAGCTCCATCATACAGTACACTTACCTTGGTTTGGAGACCTCAGCCTGATCAGTCTGCAGTTTTTCTCCTCCTTCTAGCTCCATCATACAGTACACTTACCTTGGTTTGGAGACCTCAGCCTGATACGTGTGCAGTTTCACTCCTCCTTCTAGTACCATCATACAGTACACTTACCTTGGTTTGGAGGCCTCAGCCTGATCAGTCTGCAGTTTTTCTCCCCCTTCCACCTCCATGGTACAGTAGACAATTTTACTGTTGGCCAGGGAACGTAGACCTTTGACCTCTACAACATGTACCTGTAAAACCAAGGTTACCTTAGACATGCCAGTAAACTAGGGCTTGTTGCACATAATTTTCACAATTTTACTCAGAGTATAGAATATACCAGTTTTTGGACTATTCACAGTTCTCAACAGAAAAGTAATTGCTGATTCAGACAAGTCATTCCAATTATCCACAATTCTGTATGTAAAGGAATATTTCTGAACATCTAATTTTGATTGTTGCATTTTAAATTTTAACAATTGTTCTTTGTTCTCTATGAGGTGTCAACTGAACTAACCGTTCAGTAATTTTCTGATCATGGGAGTTTGATAATTTTAAAGATGTTAATCTGTCTTGTCTTACCTGTCTGTAGCTCACTTTTGGAAGCCCTAATTTTTGTAAGCCAGTCATTAAAGGGTAAATCATATATATATTAGATACATTTTGTCGCTCGCCTCTGAACCATTCTGATTATTTCAATGTCTTCTTTTTTTTTTATAAGGATTCCACACATTTGAAGCATTTTTTAAGTGTAGATGAATTAACATCCAAGTGGACAATGGACAAAAAGTCTATTACCTGTAGGCTATTTGACTTTATTTGGTGGATGTAGACTGAAAAGTTTAAATATTTTTCCATATTGACTCATATGTCTGTTGAAATATTTTCCAAGAAAGTTGAAATATCATTTTCGGACATTTAGTAATCTTCTGTATATTTGGCTTTCATATATGGAGTGAAAGCTTACCTCAAGTGTGAAGGACAGGACCACGTCTAGTTTAGACAGTCCAGGTTCCGTGTCATCTGATATATCCATTTTGGATAGTGAAGAGGGATGTGTCCTGAAAATACAACAAAATAATTAAACTGTCAGTTTTTTTTGATAATTTTCAGAGATTCTGAAAAAATTAAAAACATGTACAAAAGTCCCGAAGGATACATCAAATATACATACATGACATTTCAAAGATTTAGATTAAAATCATCAAAGGTAAATCCGAACAATTTATCAAACATTTTACAATTATCAGATAATAATGAATTTAATATTTCACGAACAAATGCCATTAAAGAAGGAAAAAAAAAAAAAATCATGAATTTTTTTTTTTAAAGGAAATAATTTTAAGATCAAGTGCTGAAATTGGGAAAACATGTTAGTTTTGTTATTTTCACATTTTAGTTCAAGAAATAACTTAAGAGTATTGTTTTAATTTGAGAAGATAATAGACTGTGCTGGGTTTAGTTTTCTACTCTAATATTCTACAGTGGTTTTTTGATTTGAAGCATAGTGACTAAAGGCATTGTTAGGTGGTAAGACCTTTATTTTTATATAGGACTGACGTGCAGACCTAACAATTGAGAAGACTTCCTTTTAGCAAAATTCTTTAATTTATTTAAAACTATCTTTATTATTATATAAAACCATTTGGTTTACTTCGGTCATTCCAAACAATGAAGGTCAATTTGGTCATGTATTACAAAATTCACATATATTATAAAGAGCTCCTTGACAGGCAGTGGCAGCTGCAGCAAAAACATTTCAGCAATAATTTTAAAATGTTTCTACTGCGAAAATTCATTTTCAAACTCAAAGAGATTTACCAAACAATCTAGATCTGAAACTTCAAAAACAATCAGAATTCCATGAGAGGGTAAATGCATTTGAGATAAATGGCTGCTTTTTGAAAATAATGTCATAGTTAATGTATTGCATTAGAACTGACGTGTGATTCATTTCCCCGGTCCGAGATGGTTTTACTGGCACTCAAGACGAGATACTTGTCTGTTTACTGAAGCAACCTCAGTTTCCAAAATATCTTGTATTTTATCTCAAACATGACTGCAATGAAATACACAGCACATTTATGTCAGCTTGGCCCGATATTCAAAAGTTTACGAGAAAACCAGTTATTGATATCCACTAAAATGTTTGAATTTGAAACTGAAACTGCGTTCAACCAGAGAATCATTTCTCTTCTAAAATCCTTTATCTAAATATGGATGTAGACTTGCATGCAGGACTATTTTGGTTTATACGCTTTGGGAATTGTTTTTAATCATAAATTTTTATCGTAATCTTGTTTAAAAAGTATACATAATTTACAAAATGAAAATGTGATTAATCAAACTGAATTAGTTTACCATGAAAGCAAAACCAACATCAAATATAATACCAATACAAATTACAAGCTTCTATGAATCAAACTTTGCTGATTCAAATTCCATAATGTATCAAAGTTTTTGTTAAGTCCCAAATGTTATTCCTATATATCATCACTATCTTATCCCTTAATGACTCAAAGTTCTACAAATTTTTTGATGTATCAAAAGTTATTTCACAGAATGTTAGCTGTGATCATCGACACCTCACAATTTGAACAAAACATTTACCTGTACAGTATTGTATCAGTATTTTCAACCCTCTGGAAAATCTCACACATTGCTACCTGGCCATCAGAATAAGACAGCGAGTGCATAGTCAATTTCACAATGACTTCTGTTTAAAGTTACAGTTTTATTTCATCATTAATGAAAATGTTTTGGTGTAATATTAAAATGCATTTCTTTCATTTAAACTTGTATCTTGGTATTTATTGTTTGTTCAGGTAGAAATATTGTTACATCAACTGTAGAAATGAATATGAAAACCACCAGTGATTAAAAGTCTTGATGTACCAAAATGTTTTTGGTAGTACCTTGAACTTTGAAACATCGGAGTTTGCCTCTATAAGGTCATCGAATCATCAGCGATATGTCTGACCACTTCATGTGACATATATATCTTCATTATGAGATAGTAATCACAGGTAATAATTCTTTAAAATGAATGAGGAGACAAACACTGATACACAAACACATTTAACCTGGGTTAGTGATTTTTCAATTGCATTAGAGACTTGGATGATTCTTAAGGGGAGGTAACTACATCTAACAAACATATTATCCTGATTTAAAACACTTTTATCCTTGAAGATGCATTAATACATTACTAAAGTTTCACGAATATCACTTAAAAACTGAATTTGATGCCAGAATTGCTTGTAATGACATATAATTTCAAAATTCTCAAACTAAATGCTTTTTCTCATTTCTAATACCAGAGGTTCCAGTCAGATGGGACTGACTGGAATATTCACTCCTGCATCATATTTACTACTAATATAAAACAAACATCACCCTCCATGGAATACATATATTGCATTGTTTGCTCTTTATTTCAAAGCGTAGCCAAATCGACTACAGTACATTTAACCTTCTTGTATACTTTTTTTTATAATTTATTTACCATCTCATCTCATATTTCCAACCTTAGTACATAGGATTATAGTCCAGCTGGAAAAGCTGGTTGGTTCTTACAACCTCGTACATTACGTATGTCAGTGTTAGTACTCTCCATACTGGCCATTTGTCTGATTAAGGTAATCATGTAGTCATCAAAACATCACAATCAAATCTTCTAATGGTTGTGTTACTAGAATTTCTATTCCATAGTATTGGTTTGATGACCTAATGCTATAACAATCTAGTACTGATGTGGCTTCAGTGTGGATACGTAATAGAAGCATTAAAATTCCCCTGCTGATCTAAATATGCTCAGATGCAAAGAGTGGGGTCACTCTTCTCATTGATATTGGTTTAATGCTCTGCAGGTCATATATCAGGCATTTAATATCGAATCCTGGTCATTGGATCAGGTGAGGCCAGTTTGCATTATAATTTGGGGTGAATTTAAAATGTTGTGCCAGAAAATTAGTTCATTATCTTCAATCAAAAGGGATAAAAGTTTCATTATCTTCGATCAAAAGGGATAAATGTAAGTCGGAATTAAGACTGAATTGGCTTTGAGAAAGATTGGTTTGGGGAATTAAGTCTCACTGCATTTTTAAAGAACTTTGTTTTCTGATCATCATTCTCAAAATTCATAAAGCAAAATATCTATATAATGCTGTGCCAAGGACGGTAACAAATATCTTCCTATTAAAGAATACCTAGGTCTTATCAATACCAGATAGAATAGCCCAAACAATAACACAAGGAACACATAATGTGGTTTAAGTGATTCGATTCTTCCACAATTGATTCAGCTACAAGACAGAAAGCGTATTTAAGAAACATCTCTGGAAGTTTAAATCACATTGCACAGTGTGCTGAAACAGAAGAACCTGCCTGATAATTGCGTTACTGCTGACTGTGGAAAACAACACACCATCTGATCTATTTCCAGCCGATGGTTGTCCATTTAGAATCTCGCTCCTGACATCAGAGTAATGTGTTTGTGTATTTACCTCTCCATCCGATCTGCCATTTGTGTATGACATTTATTGCTCCTTATTCAGTGCTTGGAAGCAGGTAGACAGGCAACATGCAAAAAATGCTGTGCTGGGACACAACACTATAAAAGGCTATTATTGCATAGATGAGTTAGACAACGTAAACTAGTTTTGTTCTTGTATTGCCTACAAAGCTAATTAGTCAGGAAATCATTAACTAATAATGCTGAGGTTCCAATCAAGTGATTAGAAAATAACTGGCTGCCAAATGGCCACATGAGTTTAGGAGAACCATGATATGTCGTCCCTTGTAGATTCACACGGAGGACCACAAATCATTACTATTGAAAGATATCATTATATTGTATGAAGTTTAAGTATAATTTGATAAACTGGTCATACATATCACACCAGTGTTATAAAATTTATGAATTCAACATCCTCAGGTAAGTGGGTTGCCTTTTCTGTCGATCAGAATCACAAAGTTTAGGTGCAGGTGTGTTAAACTTTAAAAATCAGTTTACTGGTAACATACCATGTATACTTTATATATCAATGAATATTCACATTAATTTCTAAGCAAGGTGGAGACTAAATTATCTGTACTTCCTCAGAGATATCATGAACACAAAGTAATTTCATCTCGGTAGACATTTTGGAAGCGTTCTGATAGCAACACTTCAATTTTATTCTTTAATCCCATTTCAATTTTTTTTTGTTTTTTTTTGTGCTTTACATCTTATCAACAGCCGAGGTCATTTGTGGATGTGCCAGGTTTGAGTGGTGGAGGAAAGTCTGAGTTCCTGGAGAAAAACCACCGACTTGCAGCCAGTACCTTTCAACTGCCCAGCGTAGGTCTCAAACCCATGATCCAGAGGTGGAGGACTTGTGATAAAGTGTCACACATCTTAACCACTTGGCCCTCACAGCCCAACTCTCAGTCAACTGACAAGCTATTAAAAAGCTGCTCTCTTTCAACAATTTAGATGCAATTAAACTTCAATATGAAGTTTGTTAGATAAAAGAGTTTGTTAACCAGGTACATGATTGTATTAATACTAGCAGGAATAATGTGTTATTGATTTTGTAAAGTAAACTACAAATGAATGTCGACTACAAAGCTATTTAACTCTCATATCTAATTAGGTCTCTTCATTAAATGGCATTCAATTACGTTACTCAGGAAACAATCACCACCATCTGACTCATTTTCATGTGAATTTGAGTAAATGTGATGATATAGTCATGTAATGATACTAGAGATTGCCCTGTTGTGTCTGTCCTTGTTTAATACAATAATTGGGGAACTGTGCATTAGCCATGGTCTTCCACATTTTTCGATACTGAAACATTTACCAACAACTGAAATTGACACAATATATCTCTGTTATTATGAAATTGTTAGCGATCATTACTGCCAACATGTGTTCAGGAAATTTGAATCCCATTGAAAAACTTTTTTTTTTTTTTTTTTTATTAAATTGGATAGCATAAGAAATAAGTAAAGATATGTATTAAACTGCTTTCATTTGGCATTCACTGGCATTCATTTGATTATGCTTGCCAACTAG